GTAGCATTAACATATTTCATCCAGTTCCTTTTGGTTGAAGATCGGATTCATCACTCCAGTATGGAGTGCTGACGAAGCTGATCATAGGTCTGTGTAGAGGACTTGTCTAGTTCTTATTGTCTTTGCTGAGGATCTGGCTGTCGTGTCAACCTTCACAGGGTATTGTCTTATATACAGGATGTCTGCTGACATTCAGGGCTGCATTGTGGTCATGCCCAGGTCCACCATCTGATTCAGATACAACAACGATGCTGTCACGGAGTGTGTATGGCAGGAAACACAAGTAGATGAGGATTTCCAGAAACAATCACTTTTACTTTTAAACAAAACAATAAACAGATGCAGGCAGGGAATACACTTAGGTAACATAGACAACGACCGACCAGGACAGACCGAACAGAAGCAAACTAAATACAAGCATGAATCAAACATAACAAGGTGAAAACAGGTGACACTGATGATGATAACGAGGGACAGGCTGGTAAGTGAGGGAGTGAATACAGGTGTGGAGACGAGGAGGATTCTGGGAAGTGTAGTGCAGACACAAAGACAGACTGGTGCAGACGAGGACTGTGACATTACTCCCCCCTCCCAGTAGGCGTGACCTCACGCCGTGGAACAACAGGGGTGGGAGGGTGGGCATCCTGGAGTCTGTGATTGGAAGACGGACCGGGTGCAGCTGGACAGACTCCAGGATGGTCCAGACGGCCACGGCGGAACAGGACGTGGGCGTGGCCAGGGCGGAGCAGGACGTGAGCTTGGCCAGGGCGGAGCAGGACGTGGGCGTGGCCAGGGCGGAGCTGTCGGACCCTCGGGCGTCCAGGGCGGCGGAGACCCTTCGAGCGGCCATGGCGGCAAAGACCCCTCGGGCGGCCATGGCGATGCAGACCCTTCAGGTGGCCATGGTGGTGAGGACCCCTCGGGCGGCCATGGCGGTGCAGACCCCTCGGGCGGCCATGGCGGAGCCCTATGGCCCCCCCCAAAAAAATTATTGGGGAGAGTGACGGAGTCTGACAATGACTCTAGAATAGAGTCGGGGACAGGCTCTGGAACAGTCTCTGGCTGGGCAAGCGGTGAGGGCTCTTTGCTGGACAGGACCAGTGGAGAAGGCTTTGAGCTGGGCAGGACCAGCGGTGGAGAGGGCTTAGTGCTGGACGGAACCAGCGGCGAAGGGGGTCTCTGGGCTGGGCGGAACCAGCGGCGAAGGGGTCTCTGGGCTGGACGGAACCAGCGGCGAAGGGGTCTCTGGGCTGGACGGAACCAGCGGCGAAGGGGTCTCTGGGCTGGACGGAACCAGCGGCGAAGGGGTCTCTGGGCTGGACGGAACCAGCGGCGAAGGGGTCTCTGGGCTGGACGGAACCAGCGGCGAAGGGGTCTCTGGGCTGGATGGAACCAGCGGCGAAGGGGTCTCTGGGCTGGACGGAACCAGCGGCGAAGGGATCTCTGGGCTGGACGGAACCAGCGGCGAAGGGGTCTCTGGGCTGGACGGAACCAACGGCGAAGGGTTCTCTGGGCTGGACGGAACCAGCGGCGAAGGGGTCTCTGGGCTGGACGGAACCAGCGGCGAAGGGGTCTCTGGGCTGGACGGAACCAGCGGCGAAGGGGTCTCTGGGCTGGACGGAACCAGCGGCGAAGGGGTCTCTGGGCTGGACGGAACCAGCGGCGAAGGGGTCTCTGGGCTGGACGGAACCAGCAGCGAAGAGGTCTCTGGCTGGACGGTCTCTGGCTGGACGGTCTCTGGCTGGACGGTCTCTGGCTGGACGGTCTCTGGCTGGACGGTCTCTGGCTGGACGGTCTCTGGCTGGGCAGGCTGGACGTGAATCGTCTCTGGCTGGGCAGGCTGGACGTGAATCGTCTCTGGCTGGGCAGGCATGACGTGAATCGTCTCAGGCTGGGCAGGCTGGATGGTCTCAGGCGGAAGAAGGTCAGGAAGGTCGTCAAAAAGCTCAGACTCAGGCTCGGCAGAACATGACTCAGGGCCCACAGTGAGGGAGGATCCACAAACCCATAAGGTGTGGTCGATGAACTCGACAAAAGGAAGATGAAGATCTCCCAACAGCAGCATCTGGGAAAGTAGATCGTCCATCCCACTCCAGAATTGCTGCTTGAGAGATTCCCCATCTCTACTCACATCCTGATAAAGGTTGATATAGACCTCTACATACTCCTTCAGTGATCGTCCATCCTGGGCAATCCAGTGATCTGCCTTAATGCTAACTCTCTTTTTCCTCATGGTCGGTCGTTCTGTCACGGAGTGTGTATGGCAGGAAACACAAGGAGACGAGGATTTCCAGAAACAATCACTTTTACTTCTAAACAAAACAATAAACAGATGCAGGCAGGGAATACACTCAGGTAACATAGACAACGACCGACCAGGGGTGCGTTTCCCGAAAGCATCGTTAGCCAACTATGGTCGCAAGTTGGTCGCAAATCCCATTGAACTCTATTGGTAACAACGGAACTTGCGATCATAGTTGGCTAACGATGCTTTCGGGAAACGCACCCCAGGACAGACTGAACAGAAGCAAACTAAATACAAGCATGAATCAAACATAACAAGGTGAAAACAGGTGACACTGATGATGATAACGAGGGCTGGTAAGTGAGGGAGTGAATACAGGTGTGGAGACGAGGAGGATTCTGGGAAGTGTAGTGCAGACACAAAGACAGACTGGTGCAGACGAGGACTGTGACAGATGCAACAATTACATCATGTGCGTTCCCGGTTCCAGTTGACCTAATGTATTCAGCCTAACAATCCTCTAATGCAGTGTTTCTCAACCAGGGGGTCGCGACCCACTAGTGGGTCGTTGTTCGTTCCATAGGGTGTCGCGAGACTTTCTCTGTGTTAACCGGCACAGCCAATAAGTGGGCTTCACAAAAGGCTCATTTATAGACGCCTGTCTCAAATAGGCCTACAAGCCGGTGCAGTTCGACGATTTGGGAAAATAAAAGCCCGGGCTATTATTTAACGTTTTATGGTATCTTTGTGAGTCGGGATTTTCAACAGTGTCTGCAACGAAAACAAAAAGCAGGAATAGGCTGACAACAGTTTGTGTGCGACACTACGAGTCACACTTTTACAAATTCCACCAAGTCTGGCCTGATCAGAGCGGCAGTCTCAAGGCTATCACATTAAACGTGAGTAAAAAAATCAGTTTGCCTCATAGTCTGCCTAATTATTGAAAATGTTTGTGTGTTTTCGTGATTATCATTAATTATAATATGCATATAGGCCTGCGTTGTAGCCTATAGATCTAAAGAGGCATTTCAGTGATTCAAGATTTATTTAGTGGGTCATATGACTGGCATACAAAAGAAAAGTGGGTCGCAGTAGGCAAAAGGTTGAGAAACCCTGCTCTAATGAATGTGAATTATAGAAATGTGATAATGTGTTATGTGTATGCCAGGTTAAAGAGATGTGTTTTTAGTCTAGATTTAAACTGATAGAGTGTGTCTGCTCCAAACTGTTCCAGAGGGTGCTAAATAGGAAAAAGATATACTGCCTGCAGTTGATTTTGATATTCTAGGGATTATCAACTGGCCAGAATTTTGAGATTGCAAATTGCAATAGACGTGAAGGATTATTATATGTTAAGAGCTAACTCAAGTACTTAGGAGCTAAACCATTTAGTGCTTTGTAAGTAATTAGCAAGATTTTAAAATGTATGCAATGTTTATTAGGTAGCCAATCCAGTGTTGACAGAATATGGTCATACTGGTCTAGCTGCTGCTGTTTGGACCAGCTGGAGTTTGTTTTTTAAGCGTGCAAGGCAGCCACCCAGTAGAGCATTACACTAATCTATCCTTGAGGTCATGAACTAACTTTTCTGTATTCATAAATTTAAATATAAATTTTTAAAGATGCTAGAAATTTGGCTTTCAAATGAAAGATTGGTATCAAAGAGCACATCCAGGTCCCTAACTGACGACGAAGACTTGTCAGAGCCATCAAGTGTTAGACTGTATTCTAGGTTATTACGTGCGGAGGTTTTTGTTCCAATAATTAAAATGTCGGGTTTTTTTTTTTCAGAATTAAGTTGTAGGAAATTACTAGTCATCCAATTTTTATATCAACTATGCATTCCGTTAATTTTGTGAATTGCTATATTTCATCAGATCGTGAACAAATATAGAGCTGAGTATCATCAGTGTAACAGTGAAAACTAATGCTATGCTTCCTAATGATATCTCCCAAGGGTAGCATGTACAGGGTGAAAAGCAACGGTCCTAGTACTGAGCCTTGCGGTACTCTATATATACTGATCTTGTGATCAATATGACACCTCTTCATTTATTGCTACAAATTGATACCAATCAGATAAGTATGAACCATGCCAATGCAATTCCACTAATGCCAATATAATTTTCAAGTCTATTCAAAAGAATGTTGTGGTCGATAGTATCAAATGCAGCACTAAGATCCAGTAACACAAATAGAGAGATGCAACCAAGATCGGATGATAAGAGCAAATGAGATCAGTCTCAGTACTATGATACGATCTAAATCCTGACTGGAAATCCTCGTAGATACAATTTCTTTTTTAAAAGGAACATAGTTGTGAGGAGGATACTGCCTTTTCTAGTATTTTTTTACTAGAAATGAAGGAAACCAAAAACAGAGCAGGAAAACAGTAACTGAGGGAAACAAAACTAAGGACAAAACAAAGAATATCAAAATTAGAGTAAAAGACTGTGACAGCATTACTTGTTGACTCTTTATTTTCACACTGCATGTTTTTTCGTCATTCTCATGTGTAAATAATGTTAAGCAGTCCTACCTTATGATAGCCATCCAATTATATTTACTGCAGTATAAATGGTATCTCTACCAGTTGACACATTTATGGTCACATGCTTTATTTAATTGCATTTTTCATAGGCAGTATTTTGCATTTTGATAACACATATTTTTAAGATAGCTCATACTTTATACTTACAGTTTATTACTGTTTTTCATTGTACAGTGTAAATATGTATTGAATTGAATTGTACAGGACAACTGGGAGATCGTCGAGGGCTTGCGTGGTGGTCTCTCTAATGTTCAGGAGCCAGAGAAGCAGTCCGGCTACATGCTGAAGAAGAGAAAATGGCCCATGAAAGGTTGGCACAAGGTATGTGTGGGAAATTGTCATGCCTCTACCAATGTTTTATTCAAAATATTTGGAAGACATGGAATAATTGGATAAATTAGTGTAAGTGCAGATATTTCCAAAGTTACATTTCAAAGCAGCTGAGTGGATTCGTTCTAACCTGTCTGAACACATTGTGCTGACACTGATGGACTCTGGGGTGGCTGATGATTAAAGAACTTGATGAATGATCTTCCTGTGCATCAATTTGTTCAATTTTAGCTCACAATAACACATCTTTTTTGATGCTCAAATACTTTCTCCTATGGCATTTAATCTGCAGATGCAACCCGTATTTATACAATACAATACAATTTTATTTGTAAAGCACATTTAAAACAACCGAGATGCCTTGAAAATACCCATATTCCCCTTCAACCAAAAAGAGTGTATACAAGAATAGACAGAAAAGAGGCATAGTGATATACAGCCTCTCATTCATTAAGAGTGTTTTAGCGTCGCCTGAAAGGACATTTATCATTTACCAAATAAATCTGACTTAAGTTTCTCCTCTGTCCTCTCCTCTTTGTGCTTGTTTTTTTACAGAGATTCTTCTACTTGGACAAGGGCATTTTGAAGTACGCCAAATGTGAAGCTGATGTGAGTCTAAAAGGCCTCACATATATAAATACTGTATACACACACACTCACTTAGTCCATTGAACTAAAGCACTCAGGATTTTTGGTCACTTCTCCTTCATGCAAGTTTTTACAGGGCTCCAGCAATCTTCAGAGGTCTTCATCCTCCATCTTTCCGTCAATAAATGATAGCATCATCTACAGCCGATAGTTTACAAATGTCTAAATTTTTATAACAGAAACTGTTATGCTACCCCTGTGCTGCGATTGCCTCCACTCACACCAATCTACCCTTTTAAGCAGCATTATGAAGTGGACGTGTATGCCCAGGTTATTCAAATATAACAAAAATACATAATTAACTTGCCGTATATCTTTCAGATTTATCTGGGGGGGTTTTAGCCTCTAAATCAAGGCCACTAGTCAAATGTGCTTGTGAGAATGCATCATTGACAAGGTTATGCATTAGCAAAATTAGCTAAAGCCCTCTTGTATTTTACGTCACCTTTTTGTGAAAAATCACTGTTTTGAATGCAATACAGTATGCTTACACAGGGTTGGGAACCAAGAACATGTTCTTAAAAAATAAAATATATAAATATTGGAACTGAATTACATTTAGTCTAATTACAGAATAAATGACTCTTGTGCACAGGTTATTTTTAGTGAATCAAACTCAGTGTAGTTACTGACTGATTAGTTTTCATGTCAGTATGTTGTTAAAAATACACATTATGCATTTTGTCAGTACAATTTCATAATAATTAATGAATGAAATATGTTACCACATTTTTTTTGTAAATGTGTTGTTAAAGGCCTTTTGTTGGATTGCATTTGTGAGAAGTCTTATGCGAGAATTGTATTAAAGTGATTCACTTTCAAATTTAAGTATTAATATAATTTATTAAAAGTATTATTTCATTATTTGGCACCTGAACCGCTTTAATATTTTTCAAATATTTATTCCTTATAAATGCTAAGTTTTGTTAATGAAACTGTTTGGGAGCCAAATCTCTAAATTCTTCACAATTTTCATCTCTACTTTCATGTCATTCGTGCAAATCTATGAAATAGGCACAGTAAGATGGGATTACTCGGGCTATCTCACTCTATCTGTTGTATTTTTGGTGTAAAGGATGCAGTAGATTTGATTATTTATGGAAAAGCAAAACCAAGAATTCACTGAACCTATATTCAAACCAAGAGCAACATATTTGCTCTGTAGTAATTTGAGTGTGTTGCAACTGAGTAACATAATGTTGTTTTGATATATGAGGTAGTGTAGATATTTATAGGTCAAACCTTCTGCCTGTGCTGTGTGCAGGTGGATAAAGGCAAGCTCCACGGCTGCATTGATGTTGGACTGTCCGTCATGGCCATTAAGAAGAAAGCCAAGTGCATTGATTTGGATGCAGAAGAAAACATTTATCACTTAAAGGTATCACAACAATTATAGTATTAGACTGACCTCAAAATGTTCTGCGGTCATAGGAAGAGCATTAGTGGAGAATGTAATTTTGCTGCAGCTTTACTGGAACATGTTACATTATGATGGTACAGGAGATTTGCTTTAGCCTCATATTAAAGTAGCACTAGGAGGTTATTTTGACTTTAAAGTTTTCTGGTTATATGAGAAAGTTTTGATGTCCCATCCAAAACGGAATTTAGAATGCCTTTTAAATGGCAGTATAATTCAATTTAAATTAAATGTCAATTGAGATGCAAACAGAATGCATAATTGTATAATTACACTTAATTACAATTAAATTCAATGCAAATAAACTTATAAACATCATGTACACAACACATTGGGTATTTCTAGAAACAGCAGATCATATTAATAAAATGTGTATAGTATAATATACGTAAGCAATAAGGGACGAGAGGCTGTGCTGTATCTTGAATAAGTACTCCCTTCAGCCGTTACTTATTCACGATACAGCACTTGCCTCGAGTACATTATTGCTTTTATAAAACGGTTACCACACAATATTAAAGAAAAAAAAAAATGTATTAGTGCAACTTTCATGAAGTTAAATCAATAAAAGCATTCCTTCCGCTAGAAAAAAATAGTCCCTGACCACAAATGTTACAATGTGTAATATGCATGAAAGCTCAAATAAAAACAACAAACCGTTCTCAAACTTTCTCATTCTTTTTATTTTTTACAACACAATATTTGTGAAATTGCCTTACACAAATAGGCATAGCTTATCTCTCAGCATGAGAAAGCGTTTTTTTTTATTTTTTTTTATTCCGTTATTTTCTCTCTGCACTAAACTAAATATTTACATACCCTAAATAAAAACACAAGGGCACTGTCAGGATTCCATCCACGTCACGATCACCATCGCCGCCCACTCATTCCCAATCACCCAGTCGGACACTCCCCCGTTCACAATCACCTGATTACTAATCACCGTCACCTGTGTCCCATCACCCACATGCACTATAAAGCACTCACCTTCACTGCAGTCACTTGTCTGGTCTCGTTGATACACGACTCTCCTTCAACCAACCTGTTACTTACCAGCTTCCCGATCCTTCTGAATCCATCCATCTCCAGTGTGACTGCTTCCTACCCATCTGCAAGAGAGAAAAGGACATTATCATTCAGCTAAGCCTGTTTAATGTTTTAAAGTCATTTGATCCTTACCTGTTATCTCCGACTGAGTATCCATCTGCACAAATAAACGTTAATAACTTACCATCCAGTCTGTTCCTTCTGTGAGCCCTGACAGAAGACCAGACCAAAGAAGATGCAGAATCAGCCAGAGCCTGAGGAGGATCTTCCTCTCAGTCAACCACCAGCAGATGCAGCGATCAATACACCACCATCACTTCCGCAATCACCTGCTGCTTCGTTCACTGCCTCCGCGAGTCCCATGGCCCGGCCAGCGACCTTCTCTGGAGAGGCGGAGAACTGCAGTGGTTTTCTATTGCAAGTATCGCTATACATCACTATGAATGAGCATCAGTTCCGCACTGACGAAGCCCGTGTGGCATTCCTGATTTCCTTGCTGTCCGGTCCAGCGCTTCGTTGGGCAAGGTCATTGTGGGATTCTAATTCACCTGTGATAAAGTCTATTAATTCCTTCAAACAGCACTTCAGAGAGGTATTTGAGCAAGCCGTGTCCGAGCTGTCCATTCATGACCAGCTATTCAATCTTCGTCAAGGTAATTCATCTGTAAGCGCATATGCCCTGCAGTTTCGCACTCTCGCCGCTTCCTACGGCTGGAACGAGAGTGCTTTGATCTCCGCCTTCCGTCATGGCTTAAACTCGAAGATGCGCCATCAGCTGGTTGTATATGATGACAGCGCGGGTCTGGAAAACTTGATCCAACTAACGCTTCGGATTTCTCAGCGTCTCACTGCCTGCACCCTGAGCGAACCCACTGTAAGTTCTCCGCCTCCAGCTCCATCCGTCACTCCTCCAGCACCCATACCAATGGAAGTGGACTCCACACATCTATCCGCAGCGGAGAGACAGCGTCGAGTACAACATTCTCTCTGCCTCTACTGCGCCTCCGAGAAGCACCTCATCAGTTCCTGCCCAGTGCGTCCACCGCGTCAAGCGGTAAGTGCCATCCAACTTGCTCCGAGGGTAGAACGTTTGACACGTACCAGTGTGCATATTCTGACCCCTTGTGTCTGTCTCCCAGCGCAAGCCCTTGTTGACTCTGGTTCCGCGGGGAACTTCATCTCCAGCCTCTTCTTTCAAAAGCTGAACATCCGTCAACGGCGATTATCCCAAGACCTGCACATCCATACCATACAAGGCAAGCCATTAGGAAGAGGTCGTATTATTCGCCACTTCACACCCACTCTCATTCTTCGAATCGGATGCTTACACTCGGAGGAAATCTCTTTTATGGTGCTGGAGGAGTCCACCGCAGACATCATCCTGGGACGCCCGTGGCTAATCCAACATCAGCCAGTACTCCACTGGGCAAACGGAGAAGTACTCCAGTGGGGTGAGAACTGTCTTCATTCCTGTCACGGTTCCGTTCAGAAAAGCCCTTCTTCTCTTCAGTCCACATCAGTAACGGGCGAATCAGAGATTCCAGTCTGCTCTACATCAGTGGAAAGCCCCAAGGTCCAGAGCCAGGTCGAGATCCCAGTGGAGTACCGGGCGTTCCAGGATGTATTCAGCAAGCAACTGGCAGCCAAGTTACCACCGCACCGTCCATGGGACTGCGCAATCGATTTGCTACCCTTCGCAAAGGTCGTATCTACCCTCTGTCCATCCCGGAACAGAAGGCCATGGAGGAGTATGTGGAAGAAGCACTCAACCAACACTTCATTCGACCATCGACCTCCCCTGCCGCTTCGAGTTTCTTCTTCGTGACCAAGAAGGACGGAGGCTTGCGGCCGTGCATCGACTATCGTCACCTCAATTCCCAAACCATCAAATTCAGTTATCCCCTTCCTCTGGTCCCTGCCGCTCTGGAACAGCTACGTGGAGCTCGCATTTTCTCGAAGTTTGACTTAAGAAGTGCATACAACCTGATCCGTATTTGGCGAGGTGACGAGTGGAAGACCACCTTTGTGACCCCTACAGGCCACTACGAATATCAAGTTATGCCCTTCGGATTGGCCAACGCTCCTGCCGTCTTTCAGGGATACATGAATGAAGTCCTCCGTGAGTTCCTCATTCGCTTTGTGGTAGTCTATATTGATGAGATCCTCATATACTCTTCATCCCTGGCGGAACATCATCAGCATGTCATTCAAGTTCTGGAAAAGTTAAGAGAACATCAGTTTTACTCTGATCCTGGGGTACGTGATCTCCCAACGCGAGGTAGAAATGGACCAGAGGAAGGTGGAATCCATCCAAGACTGGCCACAACCCAACTCCATTAAAGAACTCCAGCGGTTCCTTGGTTTTGCAAACTTCTATCGAAGATTCATCCGTAACTACAGTCTGATCAGTGCTCCTCTCACCTCTGCTCTCAAAGGCCGGCCCAAGTCTCTGTCCTTGTCCTCAGATGCTGTCCAGGCCTTCCAGCGGCTGAAGGAGACCTTCACTACTGCTCCCATTCTCAGCCATCCCAATCCGGACCTCCCGTTTGTGGTCGAAGTGGACGCATCTTCCACAGGAGTGGGAGCAGTATTATCTCAGCGGCAGGGTGAGCCATCCAAACTCCTTCCATGCGCCTTCTTCTCGAGGAAGCTGTCCCCGGCGGAGCGGAATTATGACATCGGAAACCGGGAACTGTTGGCCATCAAACTGGCCTCTCGTGGAGTGGAGGCACTGGCTGGAGGGAGCGAATCACCAATTCACTGTCATCACTGATCACCGCAATTTGGAGTACCTCCGTGAAGCTAAGAGACTGAATCCCCGACAGGCCTGCTGGGCTCTGTTTTTCACTCGCTTCAACTTCACAGTGTCCTATCGTCCTGGCAGCAAGAATTGTAAGGCGGACGCCTTGTCTCGACTCCATCATCCCTCCTTGGAAGATGTTCGTTCGGAACCTATCCTCCCTCCAGCCGTAATCCTCAGTCCCATCGTCTGGGATATTGACCAGCAGATCAACCAGGAAATTGCTCGCCAACCCGCTCCGCCGGGAGGTCCAGAACGGTGTATCTTCGTGCCACCTCATCTTCGGACTCCCCTTCTGGACTCAGCTCACTCAGTTCCGGGCTCTGGACATCCGGGTAGCAAGCGTACCCTCTCGCTCCTCAGTCAACGGTACTGGTGGCCATCCATCGCCAGAGATGTCTACAGGTTTGTCCGCAGGTGCTCAGTCTGTGCCATTAGCAACACACCGAGGAGACTTCCGGAAGGTAAACTGGTGCCGTTGCCGATTCCCAGACAACCATGGTCACACATCGGGATTGATTTCATGACCGACCTACCCAATTCTGAGGCCTTAACCTGTGTTTTCGTGGTAGTGGATTGATTTTCTAAAGGATGTAAGCTGATCCCCCTACCTGGACTCCCTACTGCATTGGAAGCAGCGGAAGCTCTATTCCACCATGTCTTCCGGAACTTCAGTCTCCCTGAAGATATCGTCTCAGACCGGGTCCACAGTTCATCTCACGTGTGTGGCAAGCCTTCTTCAGACTCCTCAGGGTCACCATCAGCCTTTCTTCCGGTTACCATCCGCAGACTAATGGCCAGACTGAGCGTAAGATCCAGGAGATCGGTCGTTACCTGCGGACATACTGCCACAAGTACCAAGACAGCTGGAACCGTTTCCTCCCCTGGGCGGAGTACGCTCAAAACTCCCTGCGGCAGAACTCCACCGGGCTCACCCCCTTCCAGTGTGTCCTTGGATACCAGCCTCCACTCTTTCCTTGATCGGGTGAGCCCTCGGAGGTTCCAGCTGTCGACTTCTGGTTCCATCAGAGCGAGGGGGTGGGGGACTCAGCTCACGTGCATCTACAACATGCAGTTCGGAGACACAAGGAGCAAGCTGACCGTCACCGACTCGACACTCCCTTATACCAACCAGGTCAGAAGGTATAGTTGTCGACTCGGGACATTCGTCTCCGTCTGCCTTGCTGTAAGTTGAGTCCTCGATTCATTGGACCTTTCACCATCCAGAGGCAGTTGAACGAAGTCACCTACAGGCTCAATCTTCCCCGTCATTACAGAATCTCTCCTTCCTTCCATGTGTCCTTACTCAAACCCTTCACTGACCCTGTCACTCCTGTTCCCGCAGATAATCCTCCCACGGAGGTACCTCCTCCTCCCGTCCCCGTCGAGGAGGAACCAATCTACAGAGTCCGCTCCATCCTCGATTCCCGGCGGCGAGGTCCCAGGCTGGAGTATCTGGTCGATTGGGAGGACTACGGGCCAGAAGAACGATCTTGGGTCTTTCGTGACGACATCTTGGACCCTGCCCTTCTCGTCCAATTCCACAATGATCATCCGGATCGTCCCGCTCCCAGGGGTCGTGGTAGACCTCGCCGCCGGCAGCGCTCCTCTCAGGCGTCAAGAGCCGCCTCGGGAGGGGGGGGGGGGGGGGGTACTGTCAGGATTCCATCCACGTCACGATCACCGTCGCCGCCCACTCATTCCCAAACACCCAGTCGGACACTCCCCCGTTCACAATCACCTGATTACTAATCACCGTCACCTGTGTCCCATCACCCACATGCACTATAAAGCACTCACCTTCACTGCAGTCACTTGTCTGGTCTCGTCGATATATGACTCACAGACTCTCCTTCAACCAACCTGCTACTTACCAGCTTCCCGATCCTTCTGAAACCATCCATCTCCAGTGTGACTGCTTCCTACCCATCTGCAAGAGAGAAAAGGACATTATCATTCAGCTAAGCCTGTTTAATGTTTCAAAGTCATTTGATCCTTACCTGTTATCTCCGACTGAGTATCCATCTGCACAAATAAACGTTAATAACTTACCATCCAGTCTGTTCCTTCTGTGAGCCCTGACAGGCACATATTTTGATAGATAACAGTTAGGTCTATTTTATTAATGTTATTAATTTAGTTGCTAAAACGCTGCCTAACAAGAGCTAATAATAAATAAAGATTTGATAAATAGATCATTTTGATAGATAAAAAATATTTGTAGAAGTCTCTCCAAACTTATCCATCGTCATGCCACCTAGTAAATCGAAATTTACTTTAAACATTTTAGCCTTTTTAATTCTTAAGTTTTTTTCTATGTTTATGTTGATACGTGTGGTTCCTAAGGGTGTTGCTAAGGGCGCAGTGATAAATAGAACCGTTGGGTGAAGCGGTCATCGTGAATAAAGCACTGCTATTGACCAATCAGAATCAAGGGTTGGAACTAACTGTTTTATAATACTAATAAAACAACAGTGATATAATTGTGTACTTATTTAATTCATACATATTTCAATAATTTTATTATATTAGTGTATACATATATATATATTTATATTTATTTTCAATAACTTCATTTTATGAACAATATAGAATTACATTTTGATGTCAATATGAAATTTCTTAATATAAACTTATATATAAGATGTCTAAATAAAAAAATATTTATTTATGTTTTGTTCACAAACTTGAATAATGAAATTCTTGTTTAATTTCTTTGAATTGCAGTATTTTTTTAATTATGAAATTTTTCCAAGCATGTTTTTACTAATATTTTCTTTTAAGTTGTATAGGCTGGCTTATCATGTTAAAAGCTTTTAAAAAATCAATACAATCCCAAAACATATTAACAGTGCAGTGTAATATTAGAAAGCTTTACAAACCTCAACAGAGAGGTTGATTTTAAAATGAAATTCTGCTCCCATGTAGTGGATCCTCTTTAAAAGAGAATCATTTATGGGGGGGGAAAGGGTTTTGTCAGCTTCCGTTTGATTTTCTCCAGTTTGAACTCTTGATCTCATGAATAGGAAGCAAGTCCTTCCAATACAAAGTCATGAGGTCAACAGCAGCACAGCATCAAGAAAAACAGCTTCTGAATCCTGATTGAGTAGGTTAACTGTTGTCTCCTTGTGCTTGCAGATCAAGTCCCAGGAGCTGTTTGATGAATGGGTCTCTAAGCTCCGTCACCACAGACTTTACAGGCAGAATGAGATCGCCATGTTCCCTCATGAGAAAACGCTCTTCCACCCTCATTACCCCCTCACCTCCTCCCCCACGACACCCGACAGTCAGTCCATCAGAAAGGTAACGCCATTGGACATGTTGAGGGATTAGATGGAAAGCTAAATGTCAGATGAAATGACAATGACTGGGCTAGTGCTTTAACTCTGAGAGGATGTTAAAGGTCTATTGTACCTTAATGCCTACAGCAGTCGTGTCAACTTTTAGAAACTAACTCTCAAAAATTACTTTTCATTTATTTTGCCCACTAATAATATCCACCAGTGTATACACATTTATCATAGTATGAAGGTAATGAAAATTCCCTCCATATTTCCACCACATCTCAAATTATGTATTGTGTTAATATCATTCTTTGATGACTGTGGAAATGGCATTTTTTTGGCATAAAATGTCTTTTGTCTTGCTCAGGCTAACTTTAAAGCTAGTTTTAGTCCTGAATACACATAATTAAAGCTGCACATACACACTTTGGTCGCTCTAAAGACATCTATCGCATGGTACTTGCAGAACAGCTCTTACATCAGTTACATGCTCTACTGCACGGATGAATCTGATGCTTTGAGGAATTCCCAAGGTTACCATTGATTACCGTATGACAGTGGCTCTGTCATTATACAGTACACCAAGATCTACTGACAGTAAGAAGAATTTGCAGATAAAGTGCAGATATGATAAAAGTACCAAATCCAACCCGGCAGTTAAAAATTGAATGCATTATTTGTAGGCTTTCAACACAGATTTTATGTACTCAGTCAATAATGGAATAATTTGACAATCACAGATTGATTGGAAAGGGTGCACAATTCAAATATTCCATTCACAAATGACATTTGCAATTGTTCGGTGTGTTGGAAATGATGTCACAGCTGTGGGACAGTTGTAGTTTTTAAAATAAATATTGAAATGGTTTATATCATAATATGATCCATAAATAAAAGAAATTAGAAAATGTAAAAAATGTGACCTTCATATAACAAAAAGGGGAAAAAAATATTTGTTTCTTGTGATGTGATTTGACAACAGAATGTTATGAACCTAATATTGTTGTACATAGCTAGAGTTGTATTAATACATTTCTCTTTCTTTCTCTTCTTAATAATTTTCTGTCTTCTTTTCTGTCTCTATCGTCTCCCTATCATTTTCTTTTAATGCTTCTCTCTCTCTCTCTCTAGCGTGCATCTCTTGCAAAGCAGTCCTCTCTTCACTCGCCTGTATCTTTTACCAGCCAGGCCAAGGTGACCGCCTGGCTCCAGTCTTCTGATGACATGGACAGGTGCACCAAAGGTACACACATACACACCAATTTATAAATCCATCTCACACTGAAGATGCAAGATGCTGTGACTGCAGCTTTTTACTCTCTCTCTCTCTCTCTCTCTCTCTCTCTCTCTCTCTCTCTCTCTCTCTCTCTCTCTCTCTCAGAACTCTCGGTATGTGAGGCTCAGCTCCTGGAACTGAATCACTTGTTAAGAAGTATGGAGGTGTTACACCGCACCTACTCCGCCCCAGCCATCAACGCTCTGCAGGTTACATGTCATTCACAAAAAAAAAAAAAACTTTTTTTGATTATAAATTTGTTAACATAATTACACAAGCTATATATCAGAATTTATTTTTGGTTAGATTAATTGTTTTACATAGCCAGAAATGTAAGGATGTTTTTAGTTGAATTAGTATTATTTTACATTTTTAAAGTGCCCCTATTATGCTTTTTTATATATTATCTTTAGTGTGTAATATAGCTGTTTGTGAATGTGAAAGGTCTGCGAAGTTTCAAAGAGTTAATGGAGTCTCCGAAAAGAAAGAACTGATTCTGAACTGCCTGAAACGAGTCTTCAGTAATTCCAGTCTTACTTCCTGCATAAACCTATTTGTAGGTTTGTAACAAATTTGCCAGCCGATGGTTTTCATTGGTTGCCCACGAGCAACATCTACTTTGCCCCGCCCTCAAACGATGTAGTTGTAGTTGAGGCCTGAAAGAGTTTGGTTCATGTTGTCGGCATGTCGAGAAGCCCCTGTTTTCTGCGCTGTGAAAGCAAATCCACTTTGCATGCAATTCCAAAGGATACAGTCTCGGGCTGGAATAGATACAGCAAAACCAACGCCATCGTTCTCATTCGTATCACTGTGTATATTCGAGCCTCCAGAGCTGAAATTCAGATACGGTAATGGGAGTTTTGTTTCTAAATGGTAAATGGACTGCATTTATATAGCGCTTTCACAGACCCAATGGCCTCCAAAGCGCTTTATTCATTCACACTCATTCATACACCGACGGTGGTGTCAGCCATGCAAGGCGCCATCCAGCTCGTCGGGAGCAGCTGGGGTTAGGTGTCTTGCTCCACACTTGGTCAGGTGGAACCGGGGATTGAACCACCAACCTTCTGGTTTGTAGACAACCTACATGAACCACTGAGCCACTGCCGCCCAACGTGCTGTAAGCAGTAGACCAATCACAACAGACTGAGCCATCTGACCAATCAGAGCAGAGAAGGCTCTCGGAAAGGAGGGATTTAGAGAGACTGGAACCTTGATCAAACCGTTTCAGACGCCGTAAGGAAAGAAGTGATGCTGCAATGTGAGAAAATTATAGTGTTTTTGTGACCTTGGATGCATGTAAACCTATTGTAAGAGACCTTCAAAACAAAATGAACAGCCTATAAAATAGCTTAATTGGGGAACTTAAAGTATTACTTGGACAACTTTTCATAATGTTTAATAGAAAAACTTGATAAAGTTGCTGCCATCAAAAAAGGCCAATCTCAGTCCCTCAGGCAGTGGTCTAGCTGTGCCTGTGAATGCTGTTAATGCTCTTTTCGACTCCCCAACTGACAAACAGTCATTCGGTTGATAGCACAAGTTCAGAAGGATAGCCATGATGAGAATTGCAGTAATAAATTAAATTATTCCACATAACCGCCATAACAGATGAGACATTATTCAGAAAGCTGTCCTTTTCATCTTCCAAATGGGCCACCTAATTTTATTACAATATCTGTTTACTTTAGCTGCTGCAAAATTTAACTGTTGTCTCTGGATATTTCTATAATTAAAGTCGTCATGAATTCAAAATTGACCATATTTACTTTGTTAGCGCACATTACTAGTCTTGTGGTGAACAATTAATCCGTCCAAGTTAATACACTGAAAAATATTTGTTTGTTGTGGTAATCTTTAATCAAAATCTGGAAATTTGCTTCCGCTCTGGAATGGCGTTCCTTCTCTGATGACGTGAGTTTGATGGCTTGGGTTGAATATCCTTAACCACTCCCCTCCAACCATCAGTCTGCTATGAGCGAGGGATGGAGAGGAGGTGCGCTAAAGTAAAACCCCGCCCTCTATTCAATATTCTGTTTCACTTGAAAATATGTTGTATTTTTACTGAAGTAAAGTTGGTTGTAACTTCTGGTTCACGGGGACCTTCAAGGACAAGTTCACATATTTTAATTTTGTGTCATCTTGCGGACAAATAAACGGGGAGATCTGGGTGCTGGTAACATGGAGAGAGTACACGTTGTTCATTTACATATACCTACATTGTAAGAAATACAAAGCTGGATGAAAATCACAAACTTGTCCCTTGAGATGCTGTGAATTAATCCCCTTATTTTGTAATATAATTTTATTTACAGTTTGGCCAATACAAAACTAAGCTAAAATCTGTCATTGATTGTATGAAAAAGTATGAAAAATGGATATTTATTTTGAGATTTGCTAAAGATTACATTCAATTTTAATTCTTAAATTATTCGTGTTTTTAAAGATTAACTGTAAGTGATTGTTAGATGACAGCAAAGCTTGTTAGATGACAGCAAAGCTTATCTAAATGTAAAATTAAGGGAAATGAGCATGCATAATTAAATATCCAATATCAGCCAATATATATCCAATGTTGATCGATACTGGTATATTAACACATATCTAATATCGGTCGATAACCGATATGGTACCGATAATCCATTTTAGTGAAGGGTTTTCAGTATTTATTGGGGGATTGACAGGATTTTTCAGTATCTTTTGTTTTTTGTAGGCTTCAATGTACGACAGCCCGAAAAAAGAGAAGAGACATCCCAAGAAATGGCTTGGCAAGAATTGCGGGAAAGACAACAAAACCACCTTGCAGGTGATCCGTGACCTTCTACTTGCATACCTGATTTTAAAATATAAAACTTCCTTTAAAACAGTCTTCACTTCAGTTTAAAAGAGAGCCAGGCATTTTTAATGTTAATTTGCTGATGTATTATGTGCATGAATAGTGTGATGATAATGAAAGTCACTCTCATTCGCACACCTCATCCTGGATTCCCTTAACTATTACACAAATGACCATTAAGTATAACTGCATGGACTAGAAATTTTCTATTACATTTTCCTCAGGCCATTTATCTCACAGTGTTCCTTTTGCAAAAATGAATCGCACCATCATTGACCATTGACCTGGTATTTTCTCCTTCCTCTGATGTTTTTAGGTTCCGAGCTGTATTTCAGCAGGCTCTGTCCGTCTCCACGCGTCCAATCCCAACCTCTCTTCTGTAGACCTGACCAACGAGAAGAGTTACCATGAACCTCTAGACTCGCCTATAGACGTATCCAAACTGCAGGAAGACTTCTGCCGCGTCGCAAACAACCGTGAGTGCTGCAACAGAAAACTAGTGAATCTTTTTCAACTACATTAAGTGATGTATCACTGGAATGTGTCTTTCGTGACAAATGATACCTCATCATTCTACCCCAAATCCTACATTTTTGGCTCAAAATGTCTTATTTGCATATAAAATATGTGTCATTAGAATGAAATTGCTGAGGGAAAAGCCAAAACTCTGAAGAATGTGACAGATGTCTATTGCAAATGTGTTTTTGCACTTTATCTTCATGAGGATTGTGAAAATCAGTATCTCATGGTCAAATAAATTTCCAAGGTTTCATTGGACAGTATCACAACTTCTCTGAATGAGCTGACCAACAAGAATAAAATAGTATAGAATGAGAAGACAGTATGAGTTTCAATGCTAGTTGCTGTTGTATTATGTTGGTTTGGTGCTTTTCTACATAATGTACTAGCATGGTATTTCTAGTGAAGATAGATGACAAAAGATATCTTGCTGATTAAGCTAGTTAAGAAATGTAGGGATAGCAGCAAAGCATCTCATGCTAATGATCGTCTTTTTAACTGGGTCAAACCCAGTTCCCCCCTCGGACTGCACATTTTAGAGTGGCCTTTTATTGTGGCCAGCCTAAGGCACACCTGTGCAATAATCATGCTGTCTAATCAGCATCTTGATATGCCATACCTATGAGGTGGATGGATTATCTCGTCAAAGGAGAAGTGCTCACTAACACAGAAGACAGATTTGTGAACAATATTTGAGAGAAATAGGCCTTTTGTGTACATAGAAAAAGTCTTAGATCTTTGAGTTCAGCTCATGTTGCGTTTATAATTTTGTTCAGTAATATATATACATATATGTGTGTGTGTGTGTGTGTGTGTTCGTGTGTGTGCAAATATATATATGTGTGTGTGTGTGTGTGTGTGTGTGTGTGTATACACGTCGCTGCCCGATGAAACTCACGTATGTCCAAAACGGTTACTTTTCAGGAAGTGAAAAAAACACGTAATTTCAAAAGCAGTTGAACGTAGCATTGTCATACTTGGTACGACAACTTTAAATGTAACCATATTCTTGCCAGTGTAATGATATAATCCACATTTGACCAAAATTGAGTTTAAATGGACATACGTGCATATTTTACAGTAACGGTGGTCGATACGCGTTTTTCCGATCATTAATGACCCAGTCGCGTTTCATATTGACAGATGAATAGGCTACGCTCAGTTTATTAAATAGCCTACGTCTCAGTTTATTTATACGCTCAGTTTATTATATGTCTCTTGCAAACTATGAAGGGACAATGAATCAATACACTGACATGGCAATGCTAGACTGATACTATGAGGGGGAAGCACAGGCGAAGCACTTCTACTTGGGCGCAGAGATCAGCTATCAAGCAACACCTGAAATAAAGCTTGCAAATTTGTTGATGAAAACATTTATTAAAATGAAGATACAATTTATACAAAACGAAATTTTCAAGCAAAAATAATATTCGAAGATCGCTGGGTATTATTTGATTATTATAGCATGTGAGCAAAGCGGAGCGGTGTGACGCTTATAAGTTAAAAAACTTAAACATACGTTAACGTTTCATATTTATGTTTAAATAATACAATGTTATTTTTTTTATTTCATCTATGTTGATTATATGAAAACGGAACCGCATGAGATGAGTAAGATAGGATCATAAGATGACCAATTAGGCCTATATCGGAAAACATTTGGAATGGGTCAGATTTTGATCTACTAAGTTTTGTTTTGTAGAAAGCCTTTCCTTAAATTTTATTTCGTTTTGTATAAATTGTATCTTCATTTTAATCAATGTTTCATCAACAAATTTGCCTGGATTAATAAATAAGCACTTCATATGAAGTGTGCATTTCTCTTTATAGGCGCGTTCACTACTGCGAAGATGGCGAGTCTGCATCGTCAACTTTATCAACAATTCAAATGTTTCATGCATAATCATTACCTTCGCCGGTTCTTTGTGGCAAGCTTTATTTCAGGTGTTGCGTGATATCTCTGTGCCCAAGTAGCAGTGCTTCAAAACTTCACGAGACCGGCGAGATGCATCCACAGGGTGGGAAAATACGCGGCGTGATTGACAGCTTTGACACCAAATGGATATACGTGAAAATCAGATGACATGATTTCACAACTTTTCATTGGTCATTTAGATAATGTGAAGCATGCTGTATACGTAAATGAACCTGGACATTATATCCGTCAAAAAATCTCAAAATCGGCAAAATGGACATACGCGGTTTTCATCGTAAAGCGCCGAATATATATATATATATATATATATAATGTATGTGTGCATGTGACTGTGTGTGTGTGTGTGTGTGTGTGTGTGTGTATATATATATATATTAGGGCTGTCAGTTAAACGCGTTATTAACGGCGTTAATTTTTTTATCACGCGATTAACAGGCTTTTTGGCCTAGCAAACTTTGTAGTTTTTGTAGGCATGCGCGACACTATGAAACCCGTTCATTTCAATGGCTTGTGCCGCGCGAGGACGTTTTGTTGCTTCGTCAACCAAAGCGCAAGCGGATCTAGCTAGACCGGAAACAAAACAACAGGCACGCCGCACACACTCGTTTGGGTCTGCGAGCCGGCCAAATAGTAGGTTAACGAACGTTTTGAGTGGATGACGAGCGCGAGACGCCGAAATGGATGCCAATAAGATTCTGAATTGAAAGTTTACTTTTAAAAACTTGCCAAATGGTCCCATTGACAAGACCAAAGTGATCTGTGTGTTTTGTCATTGTGAACTGAACTATCATCATCGCAGCACGTCCAGTCTGAAATACCACTTGATGGCCAAGCACACACACAGCTGATGCGAATTCTCCGCCCCCTCGTCAATATCAGGACCTCGTCAGTATTTATTTCACCCTTTTATTGATGGACAGTGTTACATTGTGTGAGAGATTATTTGCTCCAAGTGAGAATGTTAGTGTGAAATTGAACACAGTATATGCCAATGTTGTTTTCAATAAAAAAACATTTGCACAAAGCAAGCCGATCCGCTTTTCCATGTTGATAAGAGCATTAAAATGAGAAAAAATAATGGGACAAAAAGAAATCAAGAGACATTTAGAATAGATAAAAATGTGCGATTAATCGCGAGTTAACTATGACATTAATGCGATTAATCCCGATTAAATATTTAAATCGTTTGACAGCACTAATATATATACAGTATGTATATATACATTTATGTATATGTGTGTGTATGTGTATATTTATATCAACTCAAGTACATGTTTTCACTGCACACTTCCTGTTTCCTTGATATAGCTACCTTTTTTCAAATGATCTGCATGTGTACCAGTTTTCATGTGGAGCAGCCTTTACACATTACTCTGTACACATTAACTAATATGAAACAGAGACAACATTTAGTCTAAAATGCACATTTTGCTTCCAGATATTTGATTCATATGTATGTTTTCTTCCTTAAATTACAAACAGATTGTGTTTTATAAATCATGCATGAAGATGTTCGAATAAAAAACAGATTCTTCAATGATTTGTCTGCCTTATATATCTGAAATGGTGCTCATTTCTTTTTTTATGTGTTTGTTTCCAGTTCATACAACCATGAAATCAGCCATGTGCATGATGACTTCAGAGAAAGAGAGACTTAAACAGATGCTGGAGCACGAGTCTTGTCCCTCCCCCTCGGCCCAGCTCCTAGGACTGAAGAGTGCCCTGGCTGCAGTAAGCACACAAACACACACACGCGCACACACACACACACACACATTTCCTCTCTGTGCATTTCCTCATGCTCAACACTGTTTACTAACAATCGTTCCGTTTCTTGCCTAAATACTTCTTTAAAGCATTGCATGCTACTCAAGCTGAGCTCTTGTTTTGTGCAGATGTAAACATGCTTGTCTTATCTTCAACAATGGCCAAAGTATAAGAAAATATTTAGATGTGCTTTCTAATAAAGTGCTGAGAATTATCTGTGGAAGAGCTTTTGTAATATAATGATTATGTCGACCTTCTAAAGAATCTTGTGAACAATAGAATTGACCATCCAAGGAGGCATTTTTACATGCTAAAAACAGTCTGTGCTAATTCGAGTTCTGTAACGCTAAATAATGACTCATCTTCCTTAGTGAGTCACATTATTGTAAAACAGACCCCAACTCTAGCACTTCTGAGAATTAACGGCAAACATCTGCTGTCTGTTAGAACTGCAGGGGAATCTTTTTGAAATTCGGAGTCCAGCTCCATCCTTATTGGGCACATTTAGTCTCAAGTTACTTTAAAATCAATAACTTTGTGTTCTATTAGACTTCTCCACACAACGAAAACATGCCTAACATGTCTAAAAAAGACAAAAAAGTCATTAACTTTATCTGCCACATTCTCATTTTGCACTCAAATCTGAAATTCAGATCTGCATATTCAAACTAGCGCTGTCATAATATCAATTCACTACACGTTTAACTGGCCAAAAGAATTCACAATAACAGTATTATCGCAATATTGATTGAATTTTTAGAAAAAAACAATGTTATCAGTCAAAGTTATATTTAACCTTGTTTTTTTGTTTCGTTTTCTGTTGTTTGGCAAAAAAAATCACACGAGGAATGCGAGGGTAGGGAGGCGTAAAGATAGTTTGTAGCCATAGCTGTAAAAAATCACACAAACAGAACTTTTTCTCAACGATTGTTGATCGGCACTTCCTGCTGCCAGCAGACTGCGTCATTTTGACGGAATCCATCAAGCTCCAACACTGCAGAGCTAACTTTTTTGGGTGCAGATAGAGTGTCTTGCTTTCACCTGTTATCTCCTCCAACATGATTTTGTGTGTCAGTAGTATCTACACACTCCCTGTGTTCCATTCTGAAGGGCTCATCCCTTTGCCCTAATCCTTTCAAAGGCTTTACCTCCAAAAAAAAAGCTGCTACTTGTCCGTGCAAAGAATCATGGGCGCAAAGTGTATCAGTTGCACTCTTTGAAATCCTTTATTCCGAAGGGCCCTTTGGAGTGGCCAGTTTTGAGCACTTTGGTTTGGAACAACTCTTTAACATGGCGACCATGATTGTTCTCACTTCAAAAGGCCCTTCGGAGGTGTATATATCCCATTTGTAATGCAGCCACTGTGTATTCTTATCTTTTCTTTTCAGTTCTATGACTGGTGGCTAAGTGCAGTAGCGCCACCTACTATGTTGAAGTGTCAACCAGGGGTGCGTTTCCCATACAACGACATAACTTCGCTGCTTCACTACCATAGTACGATGCATCGTTGAAGAAATCACCTACTAGCTAGTCACGACGGTTCCCCGAAACCATATTGTCGCAAATTGGTCGTTCAACCACGTTGTTTAATGATGTCACTCAGGTGGTGGAGTAATAACTTCTTTTAATTAATCTGTTGAGATTGAATTAATAATAGATGTTTTGCTTTAAATTACGGACATGGCATCTGAGGACTATTTCTAATTTTTGGTCTATTTCCAGATTCAATCATAGGCTCGTTCTTACGTGGTAGAGCACGTTCGCACATTCGCACTCTTCATAAACGGTACTTAAATCTCTTGACAAACTAAAAGACGTAAATTTGTATGTATTCTAAATAAAAGATACAGACTGCATTGAATGTCAGCTTGCTTATTTTGCTCAAGACAAGGATTCATTAAGTCTACATGTCATGCAAACAAGAAACTATGCTTCTAACCACAGGTCAAGAGCTGTCGTTCAAACCACACAACTTTGCGATGCTGTTTGCGAATGTTCGTTAGAACTATGTTTTCGGGAAACACAGACTCGTTGAACTAGGCTGATAACGACGGAACTTGTTGTTGGCTAATGATGCTTTTGGGAAACGCACCCCAGGGCGGCCTTTCCCAAAAGCATTATAAGCCTAAGTACATCATAGAACCATTGCCACCAATGGTCTCTACGATCAACTTGGCTCATGATGCTTTTGAGAAAAACAGCTTAGATACTGGTGCTGGATTATTTATGATGTTATAAATATGTGTAATATGAACACAATATCAATAGTTAATTTTATGGTATGTCACTATATAAGTACAATTGCGATACCCTTAAAGGGATAGTTCACTTTCCAATTAATTTTTGGTATGTTTTAGCTTACCTCAAGGGCATCCAAGATGTAGGTGTCTTTGTTTCCGCAGTAGTTTCAATTTTGATATTTTTAGGTCAAACCGTTCTTGTCTGTCAGTCATATAATGCAGGTCTATGGTCACTTCCTCAAAGAGCATGCACAGAGAAGTCCAAATTAAACATGATTTAATGACTCGTAAATGTAAGTACACATTGATGGTCTAAGACACGAAACGAGCGGTTTGTGTGGGAAAACGAACAGTATTTATATCGTTTTTACCTCTTGTAAACACAGCCACGTCCAAGTGATCTGAGGGCACGGGCGCTTCGGTCTTTTCCGGCAAGCGCCGGAAGTGATCTCTCGCGTGTGTACGTCACTCATTGTTTACACAGAACAGAGATTGTAGGTAAGACGGCTAATTAAAATGGTACTAATTTGCGCTTATCCGGGATGTTTAAACCGTCGTAAAAGAAAACAATTAAAAAAAATAAAAAATAAAACAATTGCAATTGTTGCAACAATCACTTCCGGCGCTTTCCGGCACTTGCCGGAAAAGACCGAAGTGCCCGCGCCCTCACAGATCACTTGGACGTGGCTGTGTTTACAAGAGGTAAAAACGATATAAAACTGTTCGTTTTCTCACACAAACTGCTCGTTTTGTGTCTTAGGCCATCAATGTGTACTTACATTTACGAGTCATTAAATCATGTTTAATTTGGACTTCTCTGTGCATGCTCTTTGAGGAAGTGACCATAGACCTGCATTATATGACTGACAGACAAGAACGGTTTGACCTAAAAATATCAAAATTGAAACTACTGCGGAAACAAAGACACCTACATCTTGGATTCCCTTGAGGTAAGCTAAAACATACCAAAAATTAATTTCAAAGTGAACTATCCCTTTAATTCAAACTTGACAGGTACAATCCAAAAACTTTGATCGTTTATTAAAAAAAACAAGAATCAGTGCCATTTGATGTCATCAACATCAAAACCATTGCAACATATCTTCGCACACCACATTTGAATTAGTGCGATATTTGAGAATGTATTAGTGTTTTTTTGCCGAATAAGTGTTCTTTTCTTAGCTTGACAGTCCTAGACACTATATGCCTTTTGTCGTAAAGGTTTGAAAATACACGAGGGTAAATGAATAATGACCCGATTTCTGTTAATTGCTTAAGGTATGTTTAATAGTTAGGAGCACTATGTGGAAGCCATGTGAGTTTTTGCTGGTTGCTTTTGCAGGCTTTAACGCAGAACACTGAGCTGAGAGAGCGTCTGTGCAAGATTCACGCTGAGTCGCACATCTCTGAGCCCTCTGTCCATATAAACCTCAGTCCTGGCCCCCTGCAGGTGGGTCTGGGAAATGTGCTATTATTACCCCCCACCCCCTCCACTCCAATACTATTATAAAGACCAGATCATTTCTACAGCTGCCACCAACCATACACTACTTTTCATTAGTCATTGCTCGTTATTCACAAGAAATTACATTATTGTTGAAAGAATTAGTGTAAGATTTGTCAGCCGAATATTTGTTGTCACCTAGGGTTAAAACCTGAGGCTTAAGTTGATTTGTGTTAATTAAATCCACAGCTACTCTCTGGAGAGGTTGAGTCAGACTTTCTTATGCCAGTTAATCATGTCTCTGGGTAGTATACGCCCAAACCCACTTGCATGCACACTAACAACCTTATATACAGCACCCACGCTTCACATGCTATCAGTGATATGTTCCTGTGGAATTGCTTTGTCAATAACCAACTTCCCTAATTGACATTCTAGTCGACATAATGCTTTTACGCTAATTATCTTGTAAAGCTCTGCCAACTATCTTTCCTTTTTTTTCTTACTGCTTCATAACAAGTCGTGATTTCAAAAGAAATTGTTTGCTAATTATGTTTTTTTTTTCGCTTGGTCTTGTGCTGATGAGAAATATTCTCCATTATTTAGCATTTTTGTTTTGTTTAATCTTCTGTTGGGACCTTGTATCCTGTTTGCTTCGTATATCAGCTAATGAGTTGAATTTCATGAAAGCTTCCAAGAAATATCCAGGACAAATCTTACCTCAAAATGAAAAGAAACAAATAAGAAATCTTGTATTGTATAAGGAAAATGAAGCCTATTTGAAGACCAATAATTGTATACATTTTTTAGTTTTTTGGCATTTTCATGACAATTAGGCATATTTAAAGACTTAGTTTACCCAAAAATGAAAATTCTGTTAGTAATTACTCATCCTCATGTTGTTCCAACCCCGTAAGACTTTCGTTCAGCTTCGGAACACAATTTAAGATATTTTTGATGAAATCTGAGACCTGGCTCACAAAAGTTAGTAAAAACATCGTTAAAATAGTCCAAGTGACTACAGTGGCTCAAACTTTATCAAGCGAAGAGAATGCGAAGAGTTCACGAGAGCACCACGACGCATGCGCGAGAACTGAAAAGATGACGCTCACGATCATTTGATGGGAAACTGTTAAAGGTAAGCCATTCATTTTGGGGCATTGGTAAAGCACTTTTACGTTTTCTCGTTGGTTTCTCACGATTCGGACATCCAGGAAATGCACACTTTAGAACCATTTTCAACACTACACCGAGACCCTGCGTCATCTTCTCAGTTCCTGCGCATGCGTCATGGCGCTCTCGTTTTTCATGCTCTGTTTTTATACCTATTCGGGGTCAAAACTGAACTGAATGCAATAGGAGGGATAATTTATGCTGATTTTAACATTATTTTTATTTTTAAAAATGTAAATGGACGGGATTATTCATTTCTATATTACAAGAAGTAGGAAGATACTTTTGTATGTGACAGTAATGATAATTTGGGGGATAGTGTGCTTAATTGTTGTGAAAATGCAGAAAAAGAATAATAAATTGAATGGTCCCAAATATAGGCATAATATAATGTAATATAATATTATATATTAATATAGTATTATGAATTATATTCATTTATTTATATGATTTATTAATATAATGTTTAATTTTAGGGTCAAATGTGATCCACATTTTTTTCTTGTGGAGTGTGTGAAGTGAAGCTATGCTTTCTCTTCATACAGAAGAAAGACTCCAGTGATGTTTCCCGCCCCCTTGTTCATCAGGCATCCAATGAGAGCAGAGCTTCCATTACAGAGTCTCTATCAGAGTTCTTTGATGCACAGGAAGTTCTATTGTCGGCTAGTTCTTCAGAAAATGAGGTAAGGATGAAGTCCCCTCTTTTCACCTGTCCCACAAATGAGCTAATATGAGTATCATCACACTTGGGCACTATGACCGAAATGAGTCATAAGTAGGTTATAATATAGTTTCAGGTTTTTTAAATAGCTTGACAGACTGATACATTTTGCCCATCTTTACCAAATCATCAAATATTTAATTTACTGCACTTCCTCAAGAAACCAGCTGCCTCTGCTCTCCCCTTCACCTCAGGCAGACATTGAGCTAAACACCCTATTAGGAGACAGAGGAAGGGACTAATTATATTAAACATGTAATAAGTGCTACGGGTGACATTCCACAGCTAGAGGAACCAGCCTGCCTGCCATCCCTGCTTTCTCTCTAACTTCATTTCTGCCTCTCTGCCTCACATTGAGGCCGACCTGCTCAAGCGTCTCTTGTAGCAGAAGTAATATGAAAATTGAGATAATTGCTTCTCTCTAAAAATACCTCATGAAGAAATTGGCTCCTGTGACAATTAGAACCCCGAAAAACTTCCTTCATCTACTCTACTGGAGTGATGGACACACAAACGCACTAAAGTCTGCTTTATCTTCATCTTTATGATAATGTGGTTTATTAGAGGGTGCAGAGAGATTCATATGTTCATGTATTTCAGTTGCTAGATGGTCAATAGACAGGCTTTGATAAATTTATACTGTCAGAGAGCCAAACACCTGTAATGATGATGTGTGGTTTCCTGCTAGCCTTCAGAAGATGACTCATATATCAGTGACATCAGTGACAACATATCCATGGATAACTTCAGCAACGAGGCAGAGAATGAGAGACTCAATGCAGGTGGGTAATGTTCCCTCTAAGTTGCACGCTTATGATGTCGCACCCACACAGAAAGGGAGATGCTGTGCAGAAGGGAGATGCAAAATATGTGGGGAAAGCCATTTGATTGTGTTCTAGGGAATGAGAAATAATTGCAGTGTTCTGGTCAACCGCTGTAGAGTTATTAAAGAACCGGTGAATGTGGTTTACTGGTTTCATAGAAAGAATGAACTGTCATTGTTGGAATACGTCAATGGATGATCTCAATGGGGAACACAAAAACATGAGAAAAAGTAATTAAAAGTTATAAGCTCCTTGTATAATTTACTGTACTAAAAACACTTTGGTATCATCACAAACCATCTCAGTTGTATATTATATTATGATATATTGAACTGTTCTGTAGTTTTGACTTTTTTTTTAATTAGTTTTTATTAAATTTCTTAGCAAAGGATGGCACAGCTGTACTGTATAAAAAAATCATGTAAACTAAAAATGTGCTTCATATTTAGTAACTTCTGAAATTTTACCTGCTTATTTTCAGAAATAGAAGCACATAAGTTACATCAAGGGTAAAAAAAATATATATATATAGACATTGCAACTGCAGGACTGGTCTGGTACTGTATAAGAGTCGTTTTTGCTTAGGTAACCGGAATGTCCACCCAGTTGAAAAAGGTTTTGCTTAACAATAAAAAAAACATTAGAGGGAACATTCGAATGCCACATTTTTTTCTCAAGTCATTGATATTCTGCTATCATTCCAGTGTTATACATGAAATACATATTGGGTTTCATAAATTTGACAGCTGTTTTATAGCTGTATGAAGCATTTTGTTGCATTTTATAGCATTTTGTATGTTCAGAAAAAGCACTGACAAGCAATTTTAACATGCCAGAACAGAAACTTCCAGAGACAGAATTGCTGGAGATCAATCTTAGATGCATTTCCTGAACCGCAAACGTTTTTCTTTTTTAGGTTGTCTAGAGAACGGTGGTTCTCAAGAACAGCGGCGGTCTTGTCTTCCCTCCCCCAGCCCCAATACCAGCAACATCAGCCTGTGGAACATACTGAAGAACAACATCGGGAAGGACCTGTCTAAAGTAGCCATGCCTGTTCAACTCAATGAGCCGCTTAACACACTGCAGAGACTGTGTGAGGAACTGGAGTACAGCGAACTGCTGGACAAGGCCGCACACACACAGGACCCTTTTGAGCGCATGGTAGGCAGAGGTCACATGCATAATTGCACAAACCTGTTTGCATATGAAAAGTATTTGGATTTCAAAAAACATGTAGTTTAAGCACAAGAGACAACGAATTTTAAGTCAATATGAAATCAAAATTGACCTGTTTACTTTCCTACTGCACATTTTTTCATCTAATTGTGCATGAATCATCATTGCAAATTATTAAATTGAAAAGAAATTGCCTTCGGTCGGAAAAAAATTAATGACTTTGCCTCAGAAATGACTTTCCTTTTTGGCTGATGTCTCATAGGCCACATTTTCCCTCAGGTGATTGGCTAAAAAATGTTTCTGGTACTGAATGGAAATGAAGGTGTACTAGATTTCCTTATCACAGTAATTTAATGCCAGTTAATATTAATATAACAAAGGTTACAGCAATCAAATAAAGACAGGTTTGATAAAGCAGCATTACCATTGGGATACTTCAAAATGCTCTAGAGAGGGTGAACTTCACTTGCAGCTATCACATCCCTGTCAAAAAGCCTCCCGGGTGCTGGCGGTGTTTCAGAAGAGGACTTGTCCTCCACAATGAAATGCAAAGTCACATTCAGGTCTAAAAATACACACTTTTCCTGATCCAGTCCATTCCTAATGGATAAAAACAAGTCTTTGTCTTCCTACATTTTTTTTTTTGGTTGAATATTTAGTTTCACCCCAGATTATGTAAATAAAATTAGTCGTGAATACCATTTCGCGTTCAAGTCATAATAAAGAGTGTGATGAAATGGGCAACATATATCAGCGCATAATTAACCAAGTGTGCACTGATCTGTTTGTAGGTGTACATCGCTACATTTGCCGTGTCTGGCTATGCTTCCAGTTACTACAGAGCAGGAGGAAAACCCTTTAATCCAGTGTTGGGCGAAACCTACGAGTGTGATCGCCCAGACAAAGGCTTTCGCTTTGTTGGCGAGCAGGTAGGATGCTCTCTGTAAGATTTGTTTTTGTGAACTGGTATGTGAATGTAGCCATGTTTCCATCCACCTATTTTTATGCACATTTTTTGTTATCGCTTAAAAAAAAAACGCTGAATGGAAATGCCAAAATGCCCATAAATTCTAAAAAAAGCATATAAATTATAAAACAAATTATTAAAACTCACGCGACGTTGACTAAACAGAGGATGTGATTGCAAACTGGAAATGGTGCCAATTTCCTAGGAACACATGAGATGGAAATGGTGCATTATTCGCGAATGTTTTAAGCAAAATTACAATTTTCCACAGAAGTTTAATTCACAACTTTGGACGGAAACATAGCTTGGGTGTGTGTGTGCAGATCTCACAGCTGCTCTGTTTTCTTCCTCCAGGTCAGCCATCATCCCCCCATATCAGCATGTCATGCTGACTCTAAAAACTTCATCTTTTGGCAAGGTAACACCACAGTAATAATGCAGGCTTATTGTGTCAGTACAAATGAGCTGATGTCTGCAGATGTGAAGCTGATTGTGTTATATATGACTGATTTCAGACGTGAGGTGGAGGAATAAGTTCTGGGGAAAGTCCATGGAGATTGTACCTGTAGGAAGTACTCATGTGGTTCTTCCTGGGTAAGTTCTTCTGTGTATTTATTATTCAAATGCTATCCCGTCTGCTGTTTTTGGGCTTCCTGGATGGATGAGGAAGTCAATTTTAAAATGGTGATTTCTAGACGTGGAAAAGTAATGTAAATTAATACAATCGTAAAACTCCATACAGAATAAAAATTAATATACATTTTTCTAGTTATGGCAAACTCTACAATATTTTGTCAGGTAGAGATGTTGTAACATTTTTAAAAATGCTTATCCTTAATCCTTATCCACTAAATCACAAACAATTGGAAAAGTCAGGGGACCTTTGAATATTGTTGTGGAAACGTGGGACCTTGGATTCAAAAAGGTTGAAAACCACAGGTCTATTGCACACTTGTGAGAAGCAGACATGTAGTATTAATACATTGAAAGTCTGTTAATACATTAAGGACAGGGCTGTACATACATACAGTAAAACATAGATTAATTGACAGTTCCAAATACATGTTACAGGACAGACACATGTTTAAAGGCCCGTTCACACAAAGGACGATAGCTATAACGATAAAGATAGTTCTAAAAATATACAACCAGTCTTGGGTGGCACAGAAATCTTCATTATTTCTATATCAAAATGAGTTTGATACGGAGCCCCCCTAGTCCCACTTTGTCAAAAAAAATTATTATAACTATCTCGTGGCCTCAAGAGACACTATCTTGAGGCCACGAGATAGTATCTTGAGGCCACCAGTTACTTATCTTGAGGCCACGAGATAGTTATAATAATTTTTTTTGACAAAGTGGGACTAGGGGGGCTCCGTAGTTTGACTATAAAGTGCTGGATGTTTTAGTGCCTACAACTTAATTGTAATTGAGACAGTTTTTGTGCTATTTCTCATCTCCAGGCATATTATTAGAATCTATTAACAATAGAAGCTCACCCTATAGCTAAAGTTCAACTTGCTCAGCCAGATGGTTCTGGTTCTCAAAACTCCCAACTCCCAACATCCTCATGGATGAGGCATGCAGATGACTACATAGTTCAAAGATTAGTCAACTTTATAAAAAAAACAATACAAGGCACTCGAGTAAATTGTTTTAGAAATATATAAAAAGCCGTCAACCTTCATTTAAGTTTATATAATCAATAAACTCTTCATAGAGTTAGACTGTAAGGTCTGTTTCAAAACCTTGCAACTAAAAAAATTAAACATTGAATGTTTAACATATTTAATCATGTTGTAATAACTCTTTCACAATCTCGTATATCTACCGTTCAGCGTTCACTGTTGATCTACTCAAGCTCCCTCGGCACCTGTACCTTTTCCGCGTCGTTTGACTCACGCCTGCCACTGAGGCGAAGTTAGAGTGTGTGCCTAAAAAGTCTCCCGTTTGTTGTGGTCGTAAACAGACGGTTCTACGTTTAAATAAACTCAATTCTCGTCAAGAAAAAAAGAGAAACAGCATTTGTGAGCTGTGTGGCCAAGCTTAGGTCAATGGTGGCCACGGCCACCCCCTAGCTACGACCTGAAACTATAACGACAACAACACAGAGGAACGATATCACTGGAATCACTTACAGAACAATTTCATCCACTGGTGTGGACAATAATATAGTTATCCTTAGAGTTATCGTTCTTGGTGTGAACGGGCTTTGGAGCTTTGGGCTATGTAGACCATAGAGGTGAGAACAGATTGTAGTCTGGGCAATAATTGGTGTCTTGAATGATGGCACTGTCAAAATTATAGCAGCAGCTGTGGTTGATGTTGTCAGTGTCCTCATTCTCCCTAAGCAATGGAGCTTTTATCTTTCCTGGAAACAGCAGACTGGGGCAGCGAGGTGTTGAAGTTGTCAGTGACAACAGCAGCCAGTTATTCAGCTGCACACATTGTAATGACATATGATGACGGACTGTTTGTGATGAGTGGGTTGCGTTGCTTTCACTGTTCTACAGGTTTTACAGATCCTATGAATAGAGCTCAGTGTTGTCCGCCCAATTCAGCTCATAATGTAAAAGTTATAAATGGTAGTGAGGTGTTATAGTTTTGGTGATTTACATTTGTATTGTATTAGAAATTTGTCTATCGCAAGTACTTAAAGCCGTATAAAGCTGACGTATTGCACGGCTCTCTGAAATACTTCTGATCAGTCGATCATTGCATTCTGTCTTCTTATGTTTTTTAGTAATAACTTCTAAACAGTATAATTGACATTTGTTGTCGCAGGGATCTGATTTCTTAAATAGATGTGCTAAGTTTAATGTCTCTCGTATCACTCCAAGGCCTCTTTCTTCTTACACAATAAAAATCAGTAGCCATATAATAAGAGTCAGTGGTCAACATGAATGTACATTATTCCTTATGTAAAGGAAACTTTAGCTCAATGGGAATTATTTATAAATTTTTAGGGAATTTTGAAAGAATCACTTATTTTACGGCCCGAACAAATGATCCGTCCAGCACTCAATAGAACGGGCCGTTACTATCAACTCTGTAGTGGATATTAATTTCCAAACTATAGTGAAAAGTATAGTGACTATTTGTTAGCACGGTAACAAGATCAGCAGTTTAAAGGGGTCATATAATGCCATTTTTGTACAAGCTAATATGATTCTTTAGGGTCTAAATTAAAAGTTTGTAATATACTTTAATTAAAAATTCTCATTAGTATTGTAAGAAAACACTTATTTTACCTGGTCAAAAACAGCTCTGTTTTCAGCACGCTGTTTCAGTGCATATGACTTTAAATGATAATGAGCTTTGCTCACCCCGCCTCTCTGTTCTGTGCATTCACCATTTGTAACTCAATAACACAATAACCATAACGCGTTGTTCAGTATAAACGTGGAATTATGAATTATATTGAGAACGTCATACATAGAAAACATGCCGTAATGTACCCTGAGTGTAAACCTTAGACGCATTCATTGTGAAGCGTGCAGCTAGCGCTTTGCAAAGATTAATATATTAATATAAAGTTTAATAAAACGTTTCACTCACTTCCGTTCTTCTGGAGATTCAGCAGGAACACGAATATCTGGTACCACAATCGTGGGAGGGGCTTCCGTTTTATTGACGTCACAAAAACGAACGGCTCAATTTGAGGCAGGGAAAAACATATAAGGAGATTAAAACAAAACCACTGGATGGATTTTTATCATTATATGATGGTTGTGTACAGACACTGTCAACACACATTTCAGTACAATCAACTTGTAAAAGTGCATGTACCATTATATGACCCCTTTAAGACCTTAAATTCTTAAGCACATAACACAAGACACTTCTCTTTAAATACAAGCAAGACTTTATTGACTATTCAGACACATAAAAAACTAATATCTAACACATAAACACACTCACACACACATTCACACGAGTTGCCGAAAGAAAGCGAGGAAAGAATACGTTTTAAGAGAGTAAAATGAGGAAATCCCAAGTTTCTAGCAATATATGCACTTTATAAGACATGACCTGAATGAACCATCAATCATTAATTTAACCCTTCTATGTGTTTATCAGTCTATGATCTGGAGGCGTTACTTTCTTTTGTTGTTTGTGTCTTTGATGGGGATTCCCTTCTGTGGCATCCTTTCTGGAAGGGATTTCCCAGGTTTTTTGATTCATTGGAGGTTCTGGAGTGACGTCTTAGGAGGCCAATCATGTTGGAGTGTTGGCAAGTGAATGGAAGCGGAGTCTCGTGGCTTAAGTTTGAAGTTTGAGACGAGCGAAGACTATATAGTCGTTGACTGAATCTTTGCGGCAAAAACTTAACTTACAAAGCGAGACTCAACAGAAAAAGGAAAGTAACTAAGTAAAGAAAGAAAAATAAGTGAGACGAGAGTAGTTAGATGGCTTGCCGCAGTCTTAACCCATTTTACAGGTCTCCCAAATCTGATCTGATCGCATCTAATGCTTTGTTTGTGTACTGAGTTGTGTAACTCAGATGTTTGTCCAACACTTTGGAGGTGCAGGTTTCTCCTCCTCTCACATAAATTACAGTTGTCATCTTATTAGTCACATGGTCACTTAAATTTCCCGCTTTAGCAGGGGATAATTTAGACATGATTTCTATAATACAAATATGATACATTTTACACAGATTTGATTTATAACACAATTTGAGAAACGGAAAATCATTCATGCTGATACCAAGCACTCCATGCTTTTTATGAACTATTAATAAATAGTTATCAAAAAGACATAAACAATGTGTGATTACAAAATGATATTCAAAAGTGTGGGTTACAGACATTATGTAGAGAATTATGCAATGAAATGACATTTGATTATTTATAAGCATTGTTTTGGAATGATCTGATGCATTTTGATATGTAAAGGCAGTCTCTGTGGATTTTAGAGATTTCAGTCCTGCGTTCCAGAGGTTACCAAGGGGTCTTAAGAAGAAGGTCTGTTTTAAGTCTTGGGAATTAAACCCCCCTTTGGCGTTAACTCATGTTTTCCTCGTGACACTCAAGATGTGCCATGTCTGAAACCCATTTGTCTTGTTAAACTGCCTAAAGTTGACAACGTTCTTCCTAGCTGTGATCATCTCTTACAAGCGTGCATTGTCTTAAACCTGCTTAGCTAGACTAGCTGATGCACAAAATGACACAGTCTTCTGAATTAGAGTCCTGAGTGTTGACTCGGACTATCTCGGAATTCTGCTTTTTGGTTAGTTTGAGGGAGTCATTGCTGTCTGATTCGCTCTCAATTCCTACACTTACATATAAAAAATAGTTTCTTATGCTCACCAAGACTGCAATTATTTGATCCAAAAAAAGTAATATTGTAAAATATTATTAACTTGGTGTTCAAGAAACATTTATTATTATTGTCAATGTTGAAAACTGTCAGGCGTGGGTGTAGAGGATGCGCACAACGAAGGAGTAAGAACAAAAACAAGTGTTTATAATAATACACAAACTAAAACTCATAAAATAGCTGCAGAATAGCGAACACAACCATGTAAACTTAGATGAGAACAGACAATGGAACACTGGAAACTGAGGGCTTAAAATACACAGGGGATGATAACTGAACTGAAACAGAGCAGGTTTTAACTAATTAAGAACCATGGAAACTAACTCTCAAATCAGATATAGACTCTTTTTCATGCAAATGTGAGTTTATATCTCACAATTCAGAATTTATGTCCTGCAGTTCCAAGTTTATAACTCGTAATTCTGACTTTTTTTTAATATAGATGTAAACTCATAATTGCGAGATATAAACTCTGTGAGGAAAAAAAGAACCAAAACAGGGTTCACGTGACATTACACCCCCCCTCCTGGAAGGCGCGTCCTTGCTCCGTAACAGTCCAAGGTGGTGGCTCTAGAGGAGGACGTGGAGCAGGTGAAGGACAGGAAACCGGGGAAGGTGACGGTGGGAAAAACTAAGGCGGTGATAACGGTGGGAGGAGCAGATCCAGGAGCAGAAGTTTTGAGGCCGGAACCCAGAGGACAGCCAGGACGATGTCCCACGGTGGAGTCGAGGGAGGGAGAGCCATGGTGAAGACTTGGCTGACGACACCGACCAGGGGGATGACTGATGGAGACTAGGCCGATGGAAGTGGAGCCCTAGGCTCAGACGGAGAACAGATGGGACTGGGCGACACCAACGGTCCTGGAGGCGAGGCGGAGCTGCAGTGACGAGCTTCCGAGGTTTAGCTAGGCAGAGCAAGATGGAGCCAAAGGGGTGGAGAGACGGGGCGCAGCAGACGGTTCGTAAGTTTGTGGAGGAGGCAGGTTGACGTCTGACCAAGGCGGAGCTGGAGGGACGAGGGAGCCCGGTGGAGCTGCAAGGACAATGGTATCTGGTGGGGGCCAAGGGAGGGAGAGCGGATCCGACTGGTTGACGGACCAAGGTGGACTGATGGGATCAGTGGCTAGAGGCGGAGCCGGGGGATCCACTTGCCTGGGCGACGTTGGAGACCTGCAGATTCGAGGCAAATCCACACAGAGTGGTGTTATAGGAGAAGCCGAGGGGCTGAAGGGAAAAAATGGAGGCAGGGCTAACGGACTGGCTGACTTTGGAAGAAGAGGCGTGAGGCTGGCCAGGAACTCTGGAGACACAGGAGACATCGGGCTGGGCGGAACCAGCGGGGACACTGGAGACTTTGTGGCGGACGGGAACATCGGGGATAGGAGGTTAAGGTGAGCATCCTCTTATAAGTCATAAAATATCAGCTTCAGCTCAGAAGTGGGAGTGTGGGCAGGGTCTTCCTCCTTTCCCTGCAACTCCACTAGCTGTCCCATGATGACACATGCTGTTGCCGACTCACACACCTCGTCAGACTCACATGGGCGCTCGGGCTCCGGGGTGATGGTTGGCTCAGTCCTCATTTCAGGCTCTGGCTTGTGAATCATGGCAGAATCAAGCCCTCCATCTACAGTAGGCTCTGGCATCATGTCTTTGATTGGGGGTGATGGCTGGCTTGTCTCTGGCTCGGAGTGGGGCTGGAATCCTCTGCTAGGCAGATAGTGGTGGCCGCTTTTGGATAGGCATGCTTTCGTTTCCACATTCAGACTTGTGAGGTAGAAAGTGCACAAGGAGCAGTCAGGAAAGTTTGTATAGCAGATGTTGAAATTTTCAAGTGTGGACCCTGAGGGACTGCTGCTCCTGGTCCATACAGAGCAGTTGGACCGCTCGTAAATCCATATTGTATGGGTCTGGTCTTCTGTCAGGCGTGGGTGTAGAGAATGCGCATGACTAAGGAGTAAGAACAAAAACACAGTCGATATTATAATACACTAACTAAAACTCAGGAGATAGCTTTAGAATAGCGAACACAACCACTTAAACGTATACGAGACTGGACAATGGAACACAGGAAACTGCGGGCTTCAATACAAAGGTATGATTAGCTGAAACAGAACAGGTGTTAACTAATTAAGAACCACGTTAACTAACTCTCAAATCTGGCAGGCAAAACGGGAACAGAACAGAGAAAACTAAACCAAAACAGACTACATTTTACAAAACCAGTTGTGCTGCTTAATCATTTTTTGGGAAAATGTGATACTTTTTTCAGGATTCTTTGATGAATAGAAAGTACAAAAGAAGAACATTTATGTGAAATAGAAATATTTGTTACATTATAAATGTCTTTACTGTCATTTTTGATCAATTTAATGCACAACAATTATGTTTGCTTAAAATCCATTTTAATATTACCCTAAACACTATTTTAAACTAACACTAATAACCTGGCAAATTATGAATTTACAGTAGACACACTCTCACACGTTACTCTTTCCTGCAGCTTTGGGGATCATTATGAATGGAATAAGGTGACATCATGTATCCACAACATTCTAAGTGGGCAGCGCTGGATCGAGCACTATGGTGAAATCTCCATCAAAAACTACAACAGTGAGAAATGCCAGTGTAAAGTCACCTTCATCAAGGTCAGCTGCCTCTCCATCCCATATATTCTGAAATGTTTTATTTTCTGATATTTTAAGGTTTCTCCACACTGCATTATATGGTAGGTAGTGGTTCAACGGACCCAAAAAAATGATGGGTCGCATCATATAACGTTTTTTAAATCACAGATCAGATCATTTTTTGGATCAGCAAGAATCTTTTTTTTGGGGGGGGGGTAACTTTGCTTTCCATTTATTGCTTAAAGCTCACATTAAGTACTCTCCATGTGTCCATACCACAGCAAAAACTACTAGCCTAATTAAGTTGAAACATTTTTAAAGGCAAGTGAACAGTCAGTAAAAAGAACAAATACTCTAATTACAAGCATAGATAAATACAATATAACAAAGTTACAAATAAAGTAAGGTCTAACTGTTGTATTCATTTTGGGTACAGAAATGTAATAATTAAATATAAAATAACACTATGTTGACTAATCTTTGGTAAAGCTGTGTTTTGTGGTTTGATTAACATTAATGACAGACAACACCAGGTATTTATAGGGTGCTGTCACTTTAAGACCTCATGCACGGATCCAATATAATGATACACATCCGATTTCTTTTGCAACTCTTTACGTTCACTTAAGACATAACCAACTGTTTACAAGAATACTTGCCGAGACGGGTATTTTGACAAAAAATAAAAAATTGTCTATGTGTCCATCTAAGTGCATGGAGACGTGAAAGAGGATTCAGTTCAGAGATCGCGTGCTATCTGAAACGTGCCGCTCTGTGTGTGCGCAGTTCGGGTGTGTGTTTATATCTAAACTTGTAATTGTGAGAAAAAAGTCAGAATTGCGAGATTTAAACTTGCAATTGCAAAAAAAATATTTTAATCTTGCAATTCTGACTATATATCTTACAATTCTGACTTATTTCTTGCAATTCTGAGTTTATATCTAAACTCTGAAAAAAGTCAGAATAGCAATTTATAATTGCGAGTTATCTCGCAATGAGGACTTTATAACTCTCAATTGCAAGTTGACATCTCCACATTCTGAGAAAAAAATGCAAGATATTTACGTGCAATTCTGACTATTTTTCTTGCAATTGCAAGTGTATATCTCACAATTCTGACTCTTTTCTTGCAATTCTTAGTTTAGATTTCAATAAAGTCAGAATTGCGTTTACAATTGCAATTCTGACTTTCTTTCTCAGAATTGTGAGATATAAATTCAGAATTGTGAGTTATAAAGTCTGAATTGCGAGATAAAAAGCTTCCATAGAATTGGACCAGTTGTTGTTCTGCCCTGCCATGTTTGACAGTCTGACATCCTCCACACTTGTGGGACTTAAAACATGTCGGTCATCTCTTTCTGGCCTTTCAGAGAGCACCGCATTCTTTAGCATCTAATGAGGGATCTGTGTGGCACAGTTAAGATAACTCAACTCAGACGCTGAGGTCTTCAAAGACTTCCAGCAGGCTTCAAGGACAACGGCTTAGGCTTTGCTGGGGGGTGAAGGAAAGACAGAAAAGATCAATTAGGGCAAAGGAGAGCAAGATCAAACATGAAACAGGACAGAATGAGATTCTGCATAAGTCAGATAATTATTCATGGTTCATCCCCTATGAGATTAGTTAAGTTCACCGTCTGACTTAAGTATGACATCTGCTGGAAATCTCCTTCATCTGACCTGATTGCAGCAGTTACTGTTAAATGTCACAGTTCTTTATAATGCCACATTAGCAAGACCTTAATGGTGAATTGATTCGGTATTTTCACTCATTTGTTCAGTATCAGCATACTTAACCCAGGTGGTCTCATTTAAATATGTACACACTTCTTTGTTCAGAGGCGCTCTGCTCAAACATATCTATGTCCTTTGCAGGCGAAGTACTGGAACTCCACCATGAACGAGGTGGAGGGAGCTATCACAGACCACAAAGGAAAAGTCATCCATAAGCTGTTTGGGAAATGGCACGAGGGCATGTACTGCGGCAGCCCACCCTCTGCTACCTGCATCTGGAGGATGAGTAGGAAACACACACACACACACACACACACACACACACACGGTTTGGCCCAATTGATGTGCTCCAATTTTCTGTTGCCTGCTGGCTGACATATTCCAGACAATACAGTTACTAGTATTTAGTAGTTATTGATTCATTTGCTTAATATTTCAGAATGTATTGAAATAAAATCTATTTATCATCTGCTTTTATGTTTGTGTACAGATCCCATGCCTCCTGATTATGAGCAGTACTATGGTTTCACTAAGTTTGCTATGGAGCTCAATGAGCTCGACCCTCTTACCAAACCCCATCTTCCACCCATGGACACCAGACTACGACTCGACCAGAGGTAAAAACCTATATCCATATTGTTTAGCTTCCAATGAAAGGTTATATGAAAACATTTTTGTTAATTCAAGTGAAAATAAAAACTTAACATAACTGTGTTATGGTATTTGTATTTGTATTGATACTATAAAAGTATTTGTCTTCCCTATCTTCGCCTATATAAATAACATTTCAGAAAACATTACATATAAATATTTATAATTTGTATACATTATTTTATAACATATAAATGGTCTGGGTCTGTTCTGGGTGCTGTCGGTGGGTGCGACTGGCATGTCCTGTTGGCATGGCCATTACAAACTCGGTTGTTGGGTTGATAGGCCCCTCCCTTTTACCGCCTTTGCCCTAAATCCCTTCTCTCATGTAAAATAACTATCTGGGTTGAATGTGGTGTCTCTGGCTGGGGAGCTAACCAGTGCACACCAAGGTCCAAGCCAAAAAGAGAGGGGAAAAAAAAGGGGGGCAACCAAACATGACATTTTGTTATGTCAGGTCACAACCAAACTAGGTGATTGCCGCTATCTATCTATCTATCTATCTATCTATCTATCTATCTATCTATCTATCTATCTATCTATCTATCTATCTATCTATCTATCTATCTATCTATCTATCTATCTATCTATCTATCTATCTATCTATCTATCTATCTATCTATCTATCTATCTATCTCACTAAATATCTCATTACTTACCAACTTACCATCTATATATCTATATTTAGCTGTTTTCCATCTCTTTGTTTTTGTTTTGTTTTTGTTTTTCACTCTTCTGTATGCGTGTCATTGATTTCTTACCTTGTGTAAGTTACTGTTTTTGCAATAAAACAAAATAATAAAAAAAACTAACATAACTATAATTAAAATAAAATACGTTTATACAAAATATATTACAAAACTTGAACTTGAAAATGCCACTATAGCACTAACACTAGACACTGCTGAGAAATGTAATGATACCAGTTAGTGCATTAACATTGGAAGCCCTAAATTAAAGAAATTAAAATGAAACCTAAATAAACTGAAACTAAAGTAAAATTAACAATGATAAAGTGAATGAAACCTTAACTAAATAAAAAAACACAATTAATGAAAAATAAAATAGAAATACAACTAAATTGAATATTTAAAACTATTATGACCATGGTTTATTATAACATGAAACTAGAGTCAGAAAATCAAAAGTGCAGGAGATCAGTGTTATTTTACATTTTTTGTCATTTTTATTTTTTCAGTTTTAGTAATTAGCACTTTACAACTCAACATTATTTTATTTCAGTCAGTTGCCAGTCCAATATTTATATTTTATTTTTATTCCAGCTTTATTTCAATAAAAAAAATTAATAGTTTTACTAAACAACAACATCACTGCAGTGGATGATATCAATGCTAAGGAATTTGGACAATTGTCGATACTAATTTCAATATCTCAGCAGAACCGGGAATGCCAATATTAAAATTGATATACCATGAATATTCATTAAGTTATGAGTCAAATGAATATTCATATGCAACTCGCATACCGATTTGAGACGATATTCTACCGATAGAAAACGTTGCACCAAACTACCAGTAATTTTGTAATCCATGGTTGGAGTTAAATGTGTCACATCCGGGACCATACTGAACCTTTAGGGACTCCAGACGATGACATCACTGCATCACTCTGTTTATGCAAGGACAAATGGATTTCACATGAGACTGTTTATGTGCGCATGCAGGTTATTGGAGGAAGGGAACGTTGAATCTGCAGAGGTGCAGAAGCAGAGGATCGAACAGCTGCAGCGAGAGAGACGCAGAGTCCTGGAAGAGAACCAAATAACACATCAACCTCGATTCTTCCAGTATGAACTCATTATCCTTCTTACTGTCTTTTTAAAAAAAAAAACCACCCATTATGCTTTTTTACATTACCAGCTTTCTTTAGTGTGTAATGTTGCTGTTTGAGCATGAAAAGGTCTGTAAAGCTACAAAATCCACTCCAGCGGGAGTTATGCATGGCCAAAGTGTGTGGGGTCCAAATCCATGTTGTTATAACTATTTTCTGCTTTATCACCAACAGGAAGTCCAAAGATGACACCTGGGTGAGCAACAACACATACTGGGACTTAAGGAAAGATCCTGGATTCACTAACCTTGACTGTCCAGTCCTCTGGTAACTCAGAGGAAGCCAACATACATCTGTGCTCACCGTTGCCTGCTCTTATCTGTTCTGGCCAACATTACAGCTTCAAGAGACAACAAACACCTTTTAAAGTGAGGTAGAGACTATGAGAAAGCTGTGAGAGACTGATGGCCGCAGAATTACAATCTGACCGTTTCGAATCATTCCTTAATATTCATTATTTAATGTCCCAGCAGTTCAGTTGCCTTACTATGCTTACATTTATGTATGGTTTCATTTATGCAAATGGATCCCTTGGAAGTATGAGAAATATGCAATCTTGGCCCAGTTCATATTTTCGTTTAGTTGATGTGCTCAATATCTGGCACAAGAAACCAAGAGGAAAAACAGTTGGATTGTGGTCTCTTGTGGTGAAATATAATACTGCAGATGACCGCAGCTTAAAACGTTACAAAAAAAAGTATAGTATGTTGTCAGAACAAAACTGTGTCGCCTACCTCTTAAAATGAAATTGTTAGCTATGAATATAATACATATAATGCCTTATTTAAAATTATATACATATACTTTGCTAGAACTTTTATTCAAAACCAATGTATCATAACAAAGTATTGTAATTTAATGATGCCTTTTATTCTGAGACTCTTGAATGAACAAAATGTTTGAGGTTCTCAGAAATATTTATATTCATCTTAACTTATTCACAAGACTGACAGATGGCTCAATAGTACTCAACATAACCGTCACAAAAGTGAGCCTGGCAGTGTTTTAAAGCTTCTTCCACACAGTTTGACCTGTAACCTGTGTTCATTTCACTACGCACTATGACGAAAAAATGTTGGGGGACTGGGGTACTTGCGTGTTGATCGCTGCAGCGTTTCCTCTGTCCTTCAATAAAGTCTCATTTAAAAGATTGTTCTTTGTTGTTTTTATTTCAGATTGAGACAGTGCAAGCATTTGCAGGGCGTTTTTTGGCTGAGGCAATGGATCTGGGGAACTGAAGTTTCAGATTGTGTGATCTGGGGTTTTCTTTCTGTCACAGCTCAAGTATAAATATACTGCTATGAATCAGTTTGCATGCAAACATCGTTCCTGAGCTGTAGACCCCCTTTTTAATGGCTTTTATAGTGGTTGAGGAAAAACCCTAATGACCCACAAAGTGTTTTGCAACACTGGAAATTATGAGTCATTGAGTTAAAAAGGAGATTTTTCTTTACAACTGCAGTTTTCATTGCAGTCTTGTGCAGTTTTGAAAAAAATAGTGGTGCTAATCCAATTAAACAATAGATAAATCTTCTGTAATAAAATAAAAAAGTGGCTGCCTTAAATTTTTTAAGTACAATCACCTTGGAAATTTAAGTCATTGCAACTTAAATTGCATTAAACTGACTGAAAAAATTTGTTGAATCTTATATAACTTGTATAAAAAAACTTATTTTGATGAGTTAAAGCAAAGTAAAAACATAAAGTATATTTGTTGGAGACAGTTTAAAGTGGGGAACTGGATGTTTTGTTTTGATAAAGATGACATCTACAAACGAGTGTGGTGAAAACAAGAGTTTTGGTTTAAGTTTGCCATGTTTCAGTTAAATAAAGATTTCTGAGGACCTCCAAAATAAACTTACCTATTTGAAGCTCACCAGGCTTCCTTGAATGAGTTTTAGAAATTCCTTCCTGTCTAAAGCCATACAACTTCTGGAAGAATGTTTTTGTGGGTAAATTTGTCGAAATAGTACTTTCTGGTTTAAATGAGAAGTGTCCCGTTTGAAAAACACTGAATTCAATAATAGGAACCTCACTCGACTGAAAAAAAAAAAATTTACTCAAAATTAGGAACCTCACTCAACTGTAATGAATGCCACTGAAGCCATTTTGATACTTCTGGACCTGGGCTGAGATTCTCAAATGCATCATAAGTCTGTCTGTAGAAACCATTTGGCACGATATCTACTTACAGTATGTTAACAATGCGTTTGGCAACCGCAGCCCAGGATGCTTTAGTCTGAATTCTATGTTATGCCACAGAATCTATAGGAAAATGTCATGGCATCAGTCTTTGTACTGAAACTCCACAGAAAGAGAGTCCTGCAGCAAGACAGTCACCCTAAACACACAAGTAGATTGACCATAGATTGAATGTTTAAAGCAGAATAAATATAATGTTTTAGAGTGGCATGTCAAAGTCTTGACCTTATGTTGTTGAAGGATCTGAAGAAAGCAGTTTATGAGGCCAACAGGCAAAAAATCCTGAGTACTGATCCACAGGTTTTAGTTTTTTTAGTTTTTTTGCCATTATTAACCAAGGCAAGGCAAGTTTATTTATGTTGAATATTTCATACACTATGGCAATTCAAAGTGCTTTACATAGAAAGGAATTAAAATAAAATAAATTATTACTGCTTAAAGGGATAGTTCACCCAAAAATGAAATTTATGCACCCTCAAGTTGTTTCAAACCTGTATTTTCTTCTGCTGCTGAACACAAAGAAACCTCTTATATAACCCTCATTGACAGTATCTCATCCCTCCAGGCTGCCCCTCCCTACTGTGAGCCACACCAGATATTAAAAACTTTCCTCTCTTTTACATAGTAGTAGATATTTATATCTTTCTATCAGTAATATATAGTTTACGGTTCAACGTTTAATGGTTTTTAATTCCCAGAAAGACAAAGGTAGGCTACTTGTTTTCACAACCTGCTATATGATAGTATGCTAGATTAAATTACATACATTTGTTATTACATGAAATCAACTCCAAATTCAATTAAGCAAAGAATTTCGGTGATAACTTTTGTAAAGAACGTACAGTTTATTTACAAGTACACCCTCTCTCAAAAGATAAAAAGTCTGCTCTTTGATTGACACACTGTGCAGCGAATGAAATCATCTTTGTCTGGGAGTGAGCCAATGAAATACGTGTAGGCGGGGCTGAGGAAACAGTAGGCGTGTGTAAATCTTCTCCGATGACTCGCCGGGCTTTTGTTTGTTTTTAGCTAGTAGTGGATGACTTGTCTTCTCTTCAGCCACACACGCGAAAAGAGCAGACGACGGTAAGCGCGGGATCAATATTTACAAGTTTTCTGTTGTCTGCAAAGTTGTATTAGTTACTTGAAAATTAATTTATTGCACTTTTGTCAGAACTGCTATGTTCTGAAGAGAAAGGATTACAATAATTATATCGCTACATTGCAACGTTACCTTTCGGCTTCTTTAGTGTCAGTTTCATTGTGCCTAAATTATGTATTAGTTTTCTGCTGGTAACTACGGAACTAGACATCATAATATTGTTGTCGCTACGTAAATACAGTGAGTTATTTGAATAAGTGTGTCATAGTCAACATGCCTGTTACGTATTTATTACAACTTTCAGCTAGACCAGCGTTCATGGTACAGAAGACAACCATATGCATGGTTGTAATATCACGGTCCTGAATGATTTATTATAAATATTCCTTTACACTTAATTTTAAGGTGTCCTTGTTATAACAATTAAATACTGACATTAAGTATGGGTTAACAAGTAATGGGTTAGTATGGGTAGTTGCTTGTATTATGCATAATTTACTGTTCTTACTGGAGTAAGTAACGTTACATGATGTAACGTGTAACAAGGACAGTGTACCAAATAATCATGTGCCATGGTATTTACATTGTATTTACAAGGTGCTTCAAAGTGCTTGGCATTGTCATGGTAGGCTACATGTCTAAAGAACCATGATACTTATGGTTGTCTTTTTTTAGTAATGCACACTGGTTGGAGTAATACTTTGAAATGAAATACACTTATGGCAGTTTTGTGCTTTTTCCAGCTGACCCTCAAACATCTCCCTGTCAGCATTAAAGATGTTTGCAAAAGCCACTAAGAACGTGCTCTCTGAGATTGACACTGAAGGTTCCCTGATCCCACTGACCCGTCTGAATGACTCGGACGGTCTGGTTCCTCTGGCCCTGGTCATCAAGCGTAATCGCTACTGGTTTTGGCAGCGGCCCAAGTACCTGACATTAGACTTCAATCTAAATGATGTTCTCGTTGGAGATCCGATAAATCCAGGTACAGAGCAACTTTTCTGTCACTCTTTACTGAAATGGTCTATGAAAGCTTGAATTGATCATTAATCATTAATCCATCACTTTTTTGAAAGCCTAAACACAATGTAATGTTTTTGGATACTTTGTTAATTGCAATTAAATGAAAATGCATTTATCTAAACTTTTGACCCACTTAAGTACATCTTCATGTAATTTCATAATTCTATTTTCTTTGAACTATGGATTTATGGTAAGATAAATAAATTATAAATGTAATTTCTATTGAAACTTTTATGTAATACATTTCAATATGTAATTACACATTTGTAATGATGAAGTTGCAATTTAGAACATTTGAATACTACACTACAGTTAAAATTATAATCAAGTACTTTACACTTGCTTTAGTATGATAGTCAACATATCAAAATAAGTGTACTTCTTCAAAGCACGACAAAAGATTGTAAAATGTTTTTTAAAGCAGTTTAATTTGATTATTACAAAATGCACTTTTAAAAGTGTGTTTAGAAACATAGTCATGTATACTCTCTTTAAGTACACTGGCCTTAAATGTTTTTATTTTATTAATATTATATAATGTGCATGTACACTTTTTATACTTTTATAATTTTAAGTACTCTACAAGTGCACATTTATTAGAATTAAGTGCATTTCTTTTTCTCAAGAGACTGTATTATCATGAACACATCCAGCTTTATGTTCTCTGTAAATGGTTCCCAAAAATGATGATTACAACCAGCGATGGTTGACGGTGATGTTTTTAATAAGGTGTTATGTGTGGGAGAACTGATGCAACATTGTTATTTTTGTCCACAGTTGTGGTTGAAACAGACTTTTTGTCGTATAATGGGAAGGTTGTGGATAACAAAAGTGGAAGTGCTGCAGCGGATCTTGGGCCGGGGAGCATTAATATAGGGGGGACTGGCTCCAGCAAACTTCAGTCATCGTTTGGAAACCTAAAGAAACAGGAGATGGATGTCCAGAAGCTCTTACAGGATTCCAAATCTAGGTGAGTCACTGACCACTTTTTAGAGCCACGGTCTCAAGCTCAAGCTTGGTCAGATAAGGGAGTGTGGTGATGGGGAATGTGGTTTACACGCAAGTGAATCTCACCCATAGTGACAGATACGGGCACTGGTGAATCAAAAAAGGGGAAATTTGAGTGCGTGGCATGTTGTTTGTGTTGTAAAATTCTTGTTTTATTTCTAACCATTTGTCAGTGAAGTTCTCCTTTTCCATTTTAGTTTGCTCTTGATCACAAACTGATATTTAGCCTGTATTGTAGGTCTCTAAAAACGTTGCTTTGCTTTTTTTGTTGTCATATCGCATTATTATATAAGGCAGTTATAGGACTTTTCACACTGCGCTTAACCTTAGGTAGAGCTTACCCCGACTAAAGTTTTTTCTAGTCGACTAGTTGTCGTTTATTTAAGCGAATAGTCGACTAATAACACATTTATGATATGTGTAACATATGTAATGTAACATTGCAAACTTGTTCTACATTACAGAGAAATTCTAAACCATAATATTGAGCATTTCAAATATAAATTAGCACTCAAGCGCATACATAGCACTGAAAGTAAAGATAATGAATGTGTTGAAAAAACAACAAGGAGACTTACTGAACATTTTAACATTTTATTGGTAAACTAGTATTTTCTGAGTCTGCTGCATTACATAATCGGAGAATATTTGTTAGATATAGATATATAGATAATAGATATTTCAAGCTTTCTATAGACATATTGAATATGTCTGTGAGGCAAGTATCTGCTTGTATGATAATATTTGTGACATGCTTCATCAAAGAAATTGACGCAGAGAGAGAGGCGCAGAAAGCACATCTTGTTTTTCTTTATTTTACAAAAGCACGAGTTGAGCGTACACAAATAAAAGTAGAAAGTAGTTAGAAAGTAGTTTCGAATGATGTATTACTCTTATCTGTATAACCAAAAATTGAGTATTTTAAGTTATTTTCACTGTGTGATCTCCGCATGGACACATGGACATCGAGCAGCCATGTAAAGTGGCCAATGTTAGGCTACTACTTGCATGTTTTAAATGATAAGCCATATTAGAGGTCGGTGAATGATTGACGAACATTTGGATTCCTGCCCGACACATGGACAACCGTGTTAACAATCTGTCCGACTTCGCCAATTCCTGAGGAGTTGTTGTCGACTAAGCCTCTTCTAGTTGACTATAGGGGGCAGCCCTAACCCTGGGTCATCATCATGCAAACCCCTGCTTTTAACCCTGGTTCAGGGATGGGCAACTTCAGTCCTGGAGGCCAGGGCCACTGTCCTGCAGAGTTTATCTCCAACTCTCATCAAACACTAGCCTGACTTCGTCATACTCATATTCTAGTCAGAATGTGAGTCTGATACTGCTCTATAGGGCTTTGATTATGAGGCGTCTCTTAAAGGGATAGTTCACTTTGAAATTAATTTTTGGTATGTTTTAGCTTACCTCAAGGGCATCCAAAATGTAGGTGTCTTTGTTTCCGCAGTAGTTTCAATTTTGATATTTTTAGGTCAAACCGTTCTTGTCTGTCAGTCATATAATGCAGGTCTATGGTCACTTCCTCAAAGAGCATGCACAGAGAAGTCCAAATTAAACATGATTTAATGACTCGTAAATGTAAGTACACATTGATGGCCTTAGACACGAAACGAGCGGTTTGTGTGAGAAAACGAACAGTATTTATATCGTTTTTACCTCTTGTAAACACAGCCACGTCCAAGTGATCTGAGGGCGCGGGTGCTTCGGTCTTTTCCGGCAAGCGCCGGAAGTGATCTCTCGCGCGTGTACGTCACTCATACTTTTTTTATACAATAAATTTTTTTTTTTTTTTTTTTTTTTCACGGTTTAAACATTCCGGATAAGCGCAAACTAGTACCATTTTAATTAGCCGTCTTACCTACAATCTCTGTTCTGTGTAAACAATGAGTGACGTACACACGCACGAGAGATCACTTCCACCGCTTTCCGGAAAAGACCGAAGCGCCGGCGCCCTCAGATCACTTGGACGTGGCTGTGTTTACAAGAGGTAAAAACGATATAAATACTGTTCGTTTTCTCACACAAACTGCTCGTTTCGTGTCTTAGGCCATCAATGTGTACTTACATTTACGAGTCATTAAATCATGTTTAATTTGGACTTCTCTGTGCATGCTCTTTGAGGAAGTGACCATAGACCTGCATTATATGACTGACAGACAAGAACGGTTTGACCTAAAAATATCAAAATTGAAACTACTGCGGAAACAAAGACACCGACATCTTGGATGCCCTTGAGGTAAGCTAAAACATACCAAAAATTAATTTCAAAGTGAACTATCCCTTTAACCGAACCAGGAAAAAAAAAACTCTGCACTCAATTGGATAGACCTACAACCAATCACCAATCAGAGCAACCCAGTAAGTGTTTGTTTTTTTATGAGCTACGCAAAGTTGTCAACAGAACTCAACTGCACGCATGCTGGAAGAAGTAGTAAAATAATAAGTGTTTTACTTGGTCCTCCATGAGTGCGACCAAAGGAAAGGAAACCAGTTCAACCCAAGCGCTCTTTGATAACGTGATGATTACGTAACTGCAGATCATCTGTCCATCATCATATAAAGCCCGCCCTGGCAATTTGATTGGCCCGACTAATTCTGAACCGATCATAATTACTCCTCAATGGATCGAGTCCAGACCGAACTTCCCGACCAAAAAATGTTGTGGGCGGGGTTTGGGCTGGCAACCAGGCTAATCAAACACCTGAAAAAGCTAATAAATGTCTTCAGGATTACTAGAAAGCTACAGGCAGGTGAGTTTTTATCAGGGTTGGAGATTTTTAAAAAAAAGATTAATGCATTTTTTTCAGTTGTAAAATGTGTAAAATTACATATGCATTTTTTATAGTAACAGTAAATTATGCATAATTACAAGCAAATCGTACGGAAAATGTTAATGGTTATACCACTTGTATAACATTAAAGTAATTGAAACTATTTTTCAAAGACATGTGGAACAAACATGATTTACAAAGATTACAGTTCTGTGTGCACGTCTAAACCATACTGTAAAAAAAAAAGATGGACAGAACATCTCCGCTTCCTTCCACTGTAGAAAAATGAAGCCAAAATATCCCAGAGACAGTTGTTCGAAGCCGGGTTCTACACAGTAGTGATTGTGAGGTGGAGCTGCGGTATCAAGGTCCCAATCCCGCACAATCAAACGCAAGGCACAGATGTCAATCATGACGTTACACCCAGTTTTTATAGCATCAAATAACTAACTAAAACAAAACATATTGGTAAAATGAACACTTGAACATGCGTCTGCGTGATAACTACCTAAACTGACAGAAACCAATTGGATTTTGTTTGTCTTGCGCTCCATTTGATTACATGGAGAGGGTGGGGTTTATGACCTATACTGCAACCAGCCACCAGAGGGCGATCAAAATGCTTTGGCTTTGCTTTTCAGGATTTGTGTGACACACTTTGTCTAAACTATCTTATAGAAAAGTTTTTTGTTTTCATTGTATTCAAAGCCTTATTTGTCATTGATCGCACTCTAATGATGACCTTAATCGATGTTTTATCTATTACGTTTTTATCGGCAATTAATCGGTCGATTACTCATTAGCATCCCTACTGTAGAACAAAAAAAAAAAGACGTGACAAACTTCTCACACTTAAATCTTTGCTGTGGTTGTAGAGTTCTGGACCTGCAGCACTCTCTGATCCAGCAGACACGGGAGACGCAGAGGGAGGTGTTGGCGGTAGTGAAGGAACGAATCTTCACCACCCAGCCCTGCACTGTCACTGAGGAGGTTCAGGAGGGTGGTACCTGCACTGGAATGTTCGGGTTTAATAAGACAATAAAGGTCGGGCTTTCTTCTTTTGTGAAAAAAAAAAAAAAAAAAATCACACACCCCTCTTTTCCATTGACATAACCATGGGTGTATCATCAACATCAAGTAACAACATTCCAGAGTAGGCATGTCCGGTCCTGATGTCTCCTCTCCTCCTAATAGAGACTGTCCTGTCTTTTTCTCTTGTTTCTCCACAGGTGTCAGTCAATGATAAAGGGAAGCCTTTTGTTGAGTATGACACTAATGTGTCTATCAACATTCCCCCTAAAACCACTATTGCTTACAGCGTGATTGAACTAGAGGTTGCTCACACTGGACACTACGGTATTGATTGCTCTGCATGTCTTGCTAAAGCTGAGTTTCATCATTCTGTAGTAGCTCATTGGAAGTTTTGTACCAATTACTGCTTTTGCTTGAGAAACCATATTTACTTTTAACAACTCAAGTGGCAACGGTACCAAAATTGTTTATTGTACAAAACATTATGGGAATAGAAATTCTGTCAAACAAGCAGTAATATGATTGTACCATTGACCATGTTGTCAGAACTGTGTCTGCTGCCAAATGTAAAAGGAGGTTTTGAAGTTGACGGGCTAGTGAAGGTGAAGCAAGCTAACTCCGTCAGTGCTGCACCAGGGAAAACAACCAGCAAACTGCAGAAAGGTAACCGCAGTTTAATTAGTCATTTTTTTTGACAAACAAAATACTTTCTTTTATCTAAGCATAATTATTCAGAGACTACTATAAAGTAAGCCTCTTTTAAAAATAAAAATAATCTAATATCTCTGAAAAGTGTGAAGATTATGGCTCTGTGGCGCTATCAAAACACACATTTTTGATTGCGCATTATGACTAGCCTTACGCAGCAACATTGGCTCAACCAAAGGTGTGATCTTGACTGTCTGTTTTTGAGATCTGCAGGGATGATGTATTTTTGTAGGTCAAAACCTGGGAACAAGTTAGCATTTTAGCAATTCCGGTTCCATCGTCCCCAAAGTCAAAACCAAAGCCTGGTGGTTAAAAGCCTAATATAAGGTCTGTGGTTAACACAAACTCAATATATTTTCACATTTTATTCTATGAAATAAAGCACACCAGTAATACCCAACTCGTGATTTTTTTTTTTTTTTTTTTTGAAAGCTTTTATGTGTCTTGAAAAAGGCGGTTCCTAACAAGTTGCTTAATAGGACTACAGAGGTTATTGGAGATATTAAACGTCATCACACTGAATAGGGAAAATGTTTTTATTTATTTATAATGACTGAATGACCACATTAGTAGTGGTGATTGTTGAAGTCGAGTGACCGTGGTGTATTTCGTTTATAGCCTAAGGTGTGCTTTTTATTTTTAGCAATTGTATTTAGGCTTCAAAATTCATAAAAGTTGTGTTAATTTGTGAAGATTATCTTGATGGAAAAAACATCTAAGTATCATAAACTGTTGATGATCACCGAGCTTATTTTTTCCAAAAATTCAAAAGCCAATGGAACAATCCTATTGGGTTTTTGTCGAGGGGACCAGTGTGATGCTAACTTCTGGTTTGGCCTACAAAAATATGTCATCCCTGCAAGCACATCACCTTTAAAGAGTTTGTTTGTTTTTATTACAAATTGGTTCTATCTTGCCCTAATGGAGTTTGAGCATGGAGTTGGTGATTACTGTAGAGTATAATGTTTTAATGAGTTGATGTACAGTATATTAAAAGCTTTTTTAATAATCTATGCAGCCCCCTCTTTCTCTCTCTTTAGATCTTGAAGGAATCCAAGGGCAGTTTGCGGTTCTCTCTAAACTCCCATCCAACACACGCTGCTCATTATTCCAGCAGATCTCTGTGCTCCTGCAGAACAGTGTATTCATCAGCTTGCTGGAGGACGCTGTGAGTGAGCCGGGAATCTTACTTCAGATTGTTATTCCATAGATGTGTACATTCACCAGCTACTTTATTAGGTACACCTTGCTAGTACCGGTACTGCCTTAATTCTTCGTGGCATAGATTTAACAAGGTGCTGGAAACATTCCTCAGAGATTTTGGCCTTTATTGACATGAAACATGATAACATCACGCAGTCACTGCAGATTTGTCGGCTGCACATCTATGATGTGAATCTCCCGTTCCAGCACATCCCAAAGATGCTCTATTGGATTGAGATCTGGTGACTGTGGAGGCCATTTGAGTATAGTGAGATCATTGTCATGTTCAACAAACCAGTTTGAGTTGATTTGAGCTTTGTGACATGGCGTGTTATCCTGCTGAAAGTAGCCATCAGAAGATGGGTACACTGGTCATAAAGGGATGGACATGGTCAGCAACAATACTGAGGTAGGCTGTGGTGTTTAAACGATGCTCGATTGGTACTAACAGGCCCAAAGAAAATATTCCCCACACCATTACACCACCAGCCTGAAATGTTGTTTATGCCTAATTCTGACCCTACCTAGAAATCAAGACTCATCAGACCAGGCAACGTTTTTCCCAATCATCTATAGTCCACTTTTGGTGAGCCCGTGTGAATTGAAGCCTCAGTTTCCTGTTCTTATCTGACAGGAGTGGCACCCGGTGTGTGTTCTGCTGCTGTCCATCTGCTTCAAGGTTTGATGTGTTGTGCGTTCAGAGATGCTCTTCTGCAGACCTCTGTTGTAACACGTGTTTACTTCAGTTACTGCCTTTAAGCTCGAACCAGTCCGTCCATTCTGCTCTGACATCAACAAGACATTTTTATCTACACAACTGCCGCTCACTGGATATTTTCTCTTTTTTGGCTGATCTCTGTAAACCCTAGAGATGGTTGTGCATGAAAATCTCAGTAGATCATCAGTTTCTGAAATACTCAGACCAGCCCGTCTGGCACCAACAACCATGCCACGTTCAAAGTCACTTAAATCAACTTTCTTCCCCATTCTGTTGCACATCTGTTTGAGCTTCAGCAAGAGTGTTTCCCAAAGCCAACTATGGTCGCAAGTTGCCATATGGTCGTTACCATAGTTGGCTAACAATGCTTTTAGGAAATGCATGCCTAAATGCATTGAGTTGTTGCCATGTGATTGGCCAATTAGATATTAACAAGCAGTTGAACAGGTGTACCTAATAAAATGGCAGGTGACTGTATGGCTGTGTTCAAAATTGCATACTCTTGAGTAGGTACTTATTTTGAATAAGTAGTTACTTTTTTAGCAGTCGTGAAGTATGTTCTATATAGTATGAATGTAATACGAACATACTACATTCGCTATGCTGTTATTATCATGTGACCTACCGCCGTCAGTTGCGTCGCTTCACTGCCATTCACAAATCCTCTCCCTTGGCCTCATGGGATAGTAAAGTGTCCATCATATGCACACTTCAGAATCTTGCTGGAACTAGTAGATCATCCGGGTGCTTTTTGCCTACTCTTTTATGAGTACTGTGAATTCGGACATACTTCTTTTGTCACATTGTTACACTGTTTTTCGCCTACTACATAGTAGGGAAGTATGCGATTTCGATTGCAGCCTATATCTTTTTATAGATGTGTCAATAAAAAAAATAAAAAAAATTGAAGGTTGATGGAGATCTTTACGGTCACTTTTTTTGACCAATTTAATACATCCTTGCTGAATAAAAGTATTAATTATTTCTAAAACAAAAGATCTTTTGAATGGTGATGTATAGTAATAAAAGATAAAGACCCAATGTTGGATATCTTTGGTCTTGTTTGTCCTTCTCTCAGCTAGAGGACCTGTGTGATGGGACACAGCCTGACCTCAGTGCATTAGATGAAGTTCCTGCTCTGAAGGCCACACTGAAGCTTGTACAGAAGGCTGCTGGTTCAAAATCCTCAGGAATGCAGACCAAACCCAGCGCTCTTACTGCCACCCATCTGCTCTTCAGCTCCTTAGATGGTGAGTTGGATGAAGTCTGGGATTATTATCTGGTCATAATAAGTTTACTTGACATGGATTTTTGTCAGCAACAAGGCCATATTGATTGTCATAAACCTGTTGTCAAAATGACCTTTGTTCTCATAAACACTCATGTTTCCATGTAGAGATGACTGACTCTGCCCTGTTTAAGCTCAAATCCTGCTGCAGTTACGCAACCCTGCAAGCTCTGCTCCATCTTGTAAGTATCCTTACTGAAATATTGTCATCACAAACAAGTATTAATACCACATGTAATAAATAGGGCATGTTCAAGAGAGGTATTCAGTCATGCTGTCTATTTATGGAGCGTCTTGCAAGGCTATTGCTGCGTTCCAGTCCAAAATTGACATGCCCTTCACTCGCTAACTTCCCTCCGTCTCGTTCACTCGGATGTACGTCATTGCATGAGTGCCCACTACTGGCGGAAACTGCAATGGGCTGAATTGGAACGTCCTAAGCCATCAGCTATGGAGTTGATTTATTATTTTTTTTAAATTACCCTTTAAGAATTTGTTTAATGCAGCATCCAAATGTATATAGATGTGTTTGGGTTGTTTTAAACGTACAGCATGTAATTTTTGGCCACCAGGGGTCGCTAATCTCTTACAATAACAAAGGCGTAGATCGATGACGCAAAGCATCAAGCGGAATTATGGATCTTGTCGTCAAGCTGAAGGATCTTTTATGGATGAGTGAATACAGTGATGTTTTTAACATGACTGTGGTATGAAGCAGGGCGCGATTGCTAATGAGAGACCGATATCAGCGCCACACGCGAGTCTTGCGGATATAAAGGAACAAGGACATTTCATTCTACCGAACTACCTGCAAGTGCAGAATTAATAAGTTACTCACAGGTCAGTTTATTAGACGAATGAAGCTTGAGGTAACGCAGCGCTGTTTCACTTGCTCTAACAGATACACTATCACACTAAACGGCATTTGAGTGTTGAATCTTGTTAGTTAGGTTGTTTGTTGGCTGTATGAGACTATGATCTGTATGTTATTCTAATGTCTTACTGCTATTCTAACATTTCATCATATTGAACTAAATAACATTGATTAGTTGTATGTACATTTGCTCACCTGTCTAATAAAGTACATGCAACACTCGCGTCTCTATCAAGTCGAAGTTAGTCGCGGACGTGGAGCTCTCGGCATCTCGAAAGATTTTGATCTTCGTTCTAGTCCTCTTTTTGTCTCAAAGTCTGCTTGCCATGGTCCAAAATGTTTGAAGAAAACAACAGCAGCGTGAGCGTCCTGCTAGGCATAACCCAGTTGTCCACGTCTGTCGCCATGGTTACTATGGCAGTACGAGCGGAAACCGAGGGTAACGCGGATATAACGCCATTGACTGGCGACTCCTCACCCCTGCTGACACGTCCCGTTTCCTTGGTTAAAATCGCAATTTTCTCACGATTTACAAATAGTTGGAAACATTGGGGATATTGTAAGTAATCAACTAAACAAAATATATAACATTGGCCTAGTGGTTTTTGGATATTTTACTGCAAAAATCCTACATATTGTACCTTTAAATACATTTTTTTTAAAAATCATAATTAATATATCAGAGTTGTTTGTGGTGGTGGTGGTGATTAGACGAGATCTGCGGTGACATCACAATCGTGTTGCATTGTGGTATATGGAGCTGCCTGTAGTGTACATATGAAGTAGACTCACTCCCGCTGTCAAAATCGAGGGAACGAGGGTCTGTCCATATAAACTTCCCTCGTCCACTTCACGAAGTGAAACGCACTTCAAAATGGCGGGAGGGATTCCCCCAAGAGGAAGTGCTTAGGGAAGTTTGCAAGTGCGATGTCTAAAAGTGGACTGGAACGCAGCATAATTAGCCATGGGGTCCCTCTGGAATTTCCTGTGGGCAGTTTGGATTTATGAGTGAAAAGGCTTGTGGTGAACATATTTTGAAGAGACTCACGTTGTTTTGCAACAAATTACAGTCAAACATCAGATCTGAATTTTGAAGCATTTTAGTTGGTGACAAATTGTTAAAAAAATGACAAGCACTTGGATGTGAGGTTACATGCTTGAGTCATACAATCATAGTCCGTAATTTACACTACTGTTCAAACGTTTGGGGTCAGAATGATTTTTAAAATAAATGAATACTTTTATTCACCAAGGTCACATTAAATCAAAAGTGACAAATGTTTTGTAATATAAATGTCTACTATTTCAAATACATGCTGTTCTTCTGAACTTTCTATTTATCAAAGAACACTGAAAAAAGGTTTCCACAAAAATATTAAACAGCACAACTGTGATAAGAAATGAGCACCAAATTAGCATTTTAGAATGATTTCTGAAGGATCATGTGACACCGAAGACACTGACACTGAAAATTCAGCATCCATCTTTGCCATAACGGTTTTCCATTTTAATATATATGTAAAATGTAATTTATTCATGTTATAACAACATTACTGTTTTTACTGTATTTGTAATCAAATAAATGCAGCCTTGGTGAGTACCGGTATAACAGAATTGTTTCAAAAACATCTAATTGACACCAAACTTTTGAATGGCAGTGTGTTGAAAGCACAAAATGGCTTAAATTCACGAGTAAGTGTGTGAATTATACGACTTCAAAGGGTTTTAACAGAAATGGGTCAATATGCAACATTTGGCAGTTCTAAAACAGTTAGCTGCCTTAGCTAATTTTCAACACCATTTCAACAGAAGTTTTGTAATTCATTCATTTTAATATAGTGATAATGACAGCACATCAAGGTCAGAAATTAATGGGGGCTTGGGGCAAAAATGTCCTGTATAATCAATGTGAAGTGTAAATGAAGCAATACACTTCTTAACTTTTGTCAACAATAGGACGTGCCATTTCCCGAAACATTAAAACGTTTTCATGTATTTCATTAAATCAACATTAATAATAATTATAATATCAAGAGCAATAATTGACGATGATTATTGTAATAATCCACCCCTACCCTGCAATGAATTCCTGTTTTCTAATTTATATACTTAATTTTAGGCTATTTACATTACGCAACATAATGCAGTTGTGTAAATACACATAAATGTCCTGTTAAATGCAGCTCGTGATAACTTTGCAGCGTAAAAATGACTTTTATTGATGTTTTGGGTCAAGGTCAGTGTTTATGTTAACATCCTAAACCATAAAGCGACTGTAAAAATGACGATTTAAACAACTTCACAGTTCAAATACCGGTAATACAAGTTTTTGATAAAAACATCAAAGATTTTTGCATTTTAAAGAAAAGGCACAAGTCAAAATGATTATATATTATTAATTTAAAATGATTATATATAATATTCTAGATCCTTTATTCTACAGATTTTAAATGCACATTAGCTTCTTATCAATCCACAGGTTCACATTTACAACACTGTGTAATCAGAGTAAAATGTGTGTCGATCTTCACATTTTGTCTGAACAAAAACGGCAGACACGCTTAATAAAATAGCAAATTCATTTTGACAATAGATAGCACTTATGAAACAGCAGAAATATAGAAGTTTCCCCAGTTACTTCAGCAAACAAAGTAGTGCTGTGCTTCTATAAACATGACTTTATTAGGAAATACAAGGAGGTAATAAAAGAAAATGCAAGGAGGTAATAAAAGAAAATGCAACCAAAACAGAAAGGCGGGTATGATATAAAAACCATAATTCATCAACGGTAGATCAAAGCAATTGCTCATTTTGATTGTGCTCTGAAAGCGTGAGCCTGTAGAATGAGCAACAGCGCCACATTTTTACTTGATATTTGTTCACACGCATTTTGTAAAAGTCTCAAGTTATGTTAACTACAGGCCTTAATTTACTCATAAATCCAGAATCGTCATTGTTAAAACCCACAGAAAATTCCTAACCCCTTATTACTGGCTTGAACATCTATCTTCTGGCTAGTAGTACCACAAACTGAGCAGTTCTGTACCACATGTAAGAAACAGAGCTTCCTTTCTTTGCCTGTCCATTTTCATGCAGGTGCAAAATATGGCTCTAAATAAGAAGTCCTCTTGGAAAGATGCTGCTCTGGCCGTGTTAGCCGATGCGGAGGTTTTCAAGAAGATTACAGCACTCTTTGCCTCTTGTAATGTGACCTTGCTTAAGGAGGAGGATTCACTTGTTACAAAAATCAGCAACCCACAGGATCGCCTTCCCCTAATGCTATGCATTGCAGTCAAAGGTTTGGCATCTCTAGCGCCCCCTGTCTGACTGGAGTACAACAGGTGCAAGCTATTAAGTTACAAGGACCAAAGGGCCTTAAAGCCTGCAGGTGGATGATCTACTCTGGGATGAAAAAAGAAAAAATCATTGATCCTTTAAGAGGCCTTTCGGCTGTTTTGTGGAGGATCTAGTGAAACCCGTAATCAATTTGAATTGGTCTTTGAATATGTTTTATTTATATATTTGTTGTTTTTAAAGTACTTTTGTAATATCAAATCTTTTAAAGTGAATATCCAATACTGTGAAAAAATGTACAAAAAAATAATAATTCACATATTTGGGCTGCTTTTGTAATTCCCTGTATCCAGTTTCCTGCCTTAAATCATTTTACATTTTGATGTGCATAAGATTGTTCTCATATATAAAAAAAAAAGTTTAAGTACAATGATCCAAAATTAAGATTAATTTATTAGACAGCCGTTTCATTTCAGAAAATACAACTCTCTGTATTGCAAAATATAGAATTTTCAAATGAATTACGCAAGCTGGATAAAAATGAGTTATACAGCCTTGAAAAAGACACTGGAGCAAGTCGCCAGAGACAGAGATACATCACTACAGGCAAGAGACAACCGAGACTGTTATGAATCTGGGAGGCCAGGTAGCTTGTGATCAGGACACAATTGGTCATTTTGTGCCCGTGTAAAAAGGCATTTAGCTAAATACAGCGCTGATTCTGTATATGACTGAGCTCATAATTCTGCAACAATTTAATTGAAACTGTGATATTGGTGGCACTTTATTTTATAGTACATTCACTTACAGTATACATGGTACTCAGTACTCTCATGTGTGAGTAATACAAGATAAGTTGGGTTTAGGTTTATGGCAGGGATGGGCAACTCTGTCCCTCGAGATCCACTATCCTGCAGATTTTTGATCCAAACCTAATCAAACAGACCTAAACAAGCTACAATCAAGGTCTTCAGGATTACTAGAAAGCCACAGACATGCGAGTTTGATCAGGGTTGGAGTTAAACGCTGCAGGATGGTGGACCTCGAGGGCCAGAGTTGCCCAGAGTTTATGGGCAGTTCACACAGAACACATTTTTACACATTAAACACGAGATGCACACAATGGTATCCTCCAAATGCAGAGGTGCGGCGCTGGTGAATGGAAAAGCAGCCAAGGTTTTGAGCCGTATTTTCAATTTGAAATGCAGTGCTCGTGGTAAAAGTGCAAGACAAGTTGTCATGTGCGAGATGCTGAAAAATCAGCAAGATGAATGTTCACATAGAAAAACTATTCAAAAGCAGCGCAGTGTAGCAAAAACATTCTGTGACCTGTCCCTTAAGCTCAAAGTACACTTTGGTTTTCACACATACACTAGGGTAAATTAAGTCATTAGTATGGTACGCGGACTACGCGCCCAGCAATATTTTTAATATTCTCTATGCTCAGTTTGTGCATATGCCTCTGCACTAATTAGTTTGTCTACAAGGTGGCAATGCTGTTGCTCACAGTTAAAAAAGAAACAACTACTGGAGACTGCAACAAAAATAAACGCACACGTCGACAAAGGGCGATTAAGAGATACACGCAACTGTAGTTTAAACGACAATGATGACAAAATACATACAATCTCTGCGGTCTCTGTACTAATAAAATGTTCAACAACGTTTTACAACCAAATTATATGCAACATCTAATTTAACTTCCACTGGAAAGGTTTTCTAGACATTCCACGAAATCAGGGCACGCAATTTCCTGAACATGATGAACGATGGTATATTCTTAGCCTCAAAGACAGCTCCAAAGCTAATTTAGTGCGCGCTTAGTTCCTGTTGCATGCATGCACTCTCAAGTGGCCAAAACCGCAAGTGTGAAACAATAACAAACTACTGGCGATGGCAGCAACAATACATGCTACTCTAGTTTAAAGAGTACAAAGAATTTGAATCGGTCATAACTTCGGAAGAGAAGTAGCGCAGGCACTAGATGTATTCGGCTGTAGACACACACCAAGCTTTCGCGTCAAAGCGAAAGGTACTTTGCGCTTTAGGGATAGGTTCAGGATTAGTACCTAGCAATTATAGTAAGTACATGTTGAACTGGACTGTAAAATAAAGTGCACCCATGATATTTATAAAAGTTAAAACTGCCTTACTCCTAGCGTTTCTTGAATTTAACTAAAATAAAATCAAGGCTAACAGGATGACGCTAATAAAGATCTTACCAAGTCAGAAGCTGGGTAAACTATAAAGTTGCTCAAATTATTTGACATACTGTAGTGACTTCATCTTTCTGAAACGTGATGTCATATAGTTCAGAGATGAATACTGCACTGTAAACCAATGTTAGTAACACTAAAATTACAGCAAGAAAACAGACCTCCTGCTTTCAATACTGTAATGCACCTTATACTAGAATGAAAAATGAATTACCATTTCAATGACAAGTCATTCCAAAACAATCCTATTTGTTTCTGTCCCTCCAAGTAACATTCTTTAAAATATGTTTAGTCAGTAGAACATAAAAAAACGTTAATAAATAAGTACACTTCCCTTCTGTCTGTTGTGACTGGATAGCTAGTGTACATTTGCATAGTGACTGGTGGGTCCGTTCAGTGTGAACTTGTGTTCTGTGCCGCTGACCTATCAGTGGTGCCGCCGCCGATGATGATGATGATGATGGTCTGTATGTCTCAGTAAACCCAGTTCAAAGGGACCCATTGCGGTTGTGTGGTTAGCTGCTCCACAGCTGCCTGCAGTTTCTCAAAGGCCTTGTCCAGATTGTCATTAACTATAGTCAGATCAAAGTAGTGATTGTACGCCCGCTTGATCCTGCCGCTTTCGTCCACCGTTTTCTTTAGGTCCGTTTCCTAAGAGACAGGAAGAGATGAGCTGACTGTTCAACAGCTTTGCTTCCTAAAGTACTTTCCTCCATTCATTGGCTCTTAACGATTGAATAAGTTCAACAGCTTTGCTTCCTAAAGTACTTTCCTCCATTCATTGGCTCTTAACGATTGAATAAAATCAGCAATGTAAATCATGAACCAAACCTGCCAAATCAAAACTAAGTTTTACATGTGCCATATATAGGGGTGGGAATCTTTGGTCACCTCACGATCCGATCCGATTCCGATTCTGGGAGTCACGATCCGATTCCAGAACGATTCTTTATCTACCTTCCCCCCCCCTTATTAATTCATTAGTTTATATAAGTAATTAAGTACTTTTTAAAAAATAATTACAAATTAATTTGTTTTAATTAAAACAGTTGTATGTTAAGAATTTTAAACTAATATAACAAATAATAAAGAGGAGCATAGAAAAATATAACAAACAACAAACAAAAAGTGCTTTCAGTAGCCTATAGATTATCTGAACGTTTTCCATTCAAGAACTGTGAGTGATTTTTCTTCATCTTTACTGTAGTTTTTTACTATGACATCATAGACTGCGGGAGATCTATTAAGCTGCATTCACGCACGCATCTCTTTTGAAATAAAATAAGTAATACGGTGTGTCCTGTCCGTTTAATCCCTTAAGACATAACTGGCTGTGTTTACGTTAACTTTGCACAAGTACATTAAACCACTACACGGAGTCGCACAGCCGCATGCGCGAGCAGTCTCACAAACAAAGCGCGCGTCAGCATTTTAATTTGAAAGCAGCCTTCTGTTAGTGAGGTTCATATTTTAAATATATAAGTCCACTGCATTCCAAACCACATAAATTATGACTTCGTAGAGCATTTGTAAGGAAAATACCGACGGGCGAGACAGCACACTTCAAGTGTAACATCAAAGAAAGCGCGCGTCTCTCACAGCGTATCCTGTGCAATGAAGCCTGTGAATGTCCTTGTAATTCGCTTCAACCTTTCCGAACTTTATGAAAGATTATTTTACGGAAGGTTCGAGTGGTGTATGTGTGTGAGGAATTGGAAGCAAGCAGAATACGGGTGTTTCTAAAGCAAACTCAACGTCATCGCACATCTGGTTAAAAACTAAGCTCAGAATCGATTCTGGAATTCTCAGAATCGATCCAGAATCGTTGGAGAGAGAATCGCGATGCATCGATGGATCGATTTTTTCTCCCACCCCTAGGCATATATCAAACAATCTCAGAGATCTAGGTAGCTCTGTAATATTTCTACATTATTGTAAAAAAAAAAAAAAAAAAAAAATCTCTATAGAGAAAATAATTTTGATAGTTTATTTCCAGAACTGACTGTTGCGCTCTGTAGAGTGCATGAACTGTTGAGACAGATGTGAGGCTAACCGTCAGTAGCTTGGTTGTGATCCCAGCATCCACCACAGCTTTGTGCATGGCCCGTAGTGTATCGAGCTCCGGGGCCGCGATGAAAACCACAAATGGCATAAACTCTGATGTCTTCAGTACCTTTAGAGCCTGTAGAGCACATTTATTAAATAAATATATTTTTTAAATTATTTTACTAGTGATGAGACGAGCAAAGCTTTGTAAAATGAGACTTAAAACTTAGTCTTATACACTAACCGCACGGATTTGTGTGTGAAATCTCTTTTCACAAAGAAATTATGATATAAAAGTGAAATAAATTTAGTTCAAAACTTTATTGTAAATTCACAAAAACAACAACAAAAAAACTGTATGGCTTGGTGAGTTTAATAAAAGCTCTGAACCACTGATTTGAAATGAAAGATTGTAAAGGTTTTAAAGCTTTACAAAGCAAGCTCATCACTACTTGCATCATCACCACTGTACATCATTTATACATCAACTGAACTGATGACTGCAGATTCACAAAGACTATCATCTTCCCACATACTTTCACATTTACAACATTATAATTTTAGTATTACGTAATTACAAAGTAAATTAGTGAGGTTGACCAGTTTATCCTGATTTTTTATTTTTTTTATTTTGTTATCTGTAATGTTTTCAGTGTCCTGAGAGGAAGTTGACACCTTCCTGTGCTATTAGACCATCAGCACTCAGAAAAGTTGCATCTCTAAATGAATCCACTTTTAAGCACCACTTATCTAAAACGCAAGGCCTACAGAAGAACAGATATGTCACTACTTCCATGTCATTGCTACTTTAAAATCTCAGAGGGTACTTTAAGTAAATATTTTAGGTCAAATGA